TGGTCAGGGAGAAAGGAAGTAAGGAAGAAGGTAGCAATAGAGAAATGAACCGAGAGAAGACAAAAAGTAGGAAAAGTAGAAAGGAAGGAAGGCAGGAAAAGAAGAATGTAGTAATGAAGGAGACACAAAGGGAGGAAGGCAGTAAGGAAGAAAGTAAGAGTTATGGATAGAATTAGCATTACATCTGATCAACTTAACTCTATCATCGAAGACTTTCATCCATCTTACCAACTAGCAGCGTTTGATATATCTTATTAAAATCAAGAACTCAGAATATTAAAAATTGTAATTGTCAGTGTCTAAAAAAACTACCATAATTTTATATTACGTGCATTTTTTTCTAAATGCCGTGGTGTAGTGTGTACTTCAGAGTTAAAGCATGGCTCGTAAAGACCAACAAGGACATATAAACATCGTCTGTATCCTTTCTGCTTTAGTCTTACTGCTAAATCCAGGGTATGTATTTTTCACTCCAGAATAGTGAATTGTACAGATAGACGTCCCGGATTTGATAAATACTTTTAAATACGAAATACCGATACGGAAAAGTCTATATAACACTTATATATAAATAGAAACTTATGTCAGATATACAATGTGTTAAAAAAAACTTTACCTTTCAATTCTCACAATTTCCTGATATCGCAATGCAGGCTAAATTTTGTTTTGTTATTTAGGAATATATTTTATTTACATTTCAAGGGTCAGCAGATGAACACATTAAATAGTATTATCATTAATATTATTTAAAAGAAACATTGTTTGCTAACATTTTAGAATTCGATCAAAGTGGCCATTGCAATTATGGTAATATGTATCACATGACACTACATTCATTCTAAATCATATTGTGTATGATATTGAAATATATTTTATCGTAAATATCGACTGCGATCAGATCTGCACGGTGAACATTTCATTTTATTTTCGGAACAGGTTCGGTGTCAGGACAGGAGTAATATGTGACGCAATGGTCTGATATATCAGTCAGTGACTCTGATGTGGTTTAATAAAGCTTGAAATTTTACGAGATCTTTTCCCCATAAAATCAATTAAATGTTTACATTAGATAATATCTTCAAACAAACAAATTAAACAGCGTTTTTTCAGAAATGCAGAAATATATGATATCGTAACAAAATTAAGTTTGGGAAGGCATTGTGGGTGTGGCAGTCAGTGAGGAGATAGGACCCCTGGCCACTTACACACCCCATTACAAAACGTGTGGAAAGGCATTGTGGGTGTGGCAGTCAGTGAGGAGATAGGACCTCTGGCCACTTACACACCCCATTAGAAAACGTGTGGGAAGGCATTGTGGCTGTGGCAGTCAGTGAGGAGATAGGGCCCCTGGCCACTTACACACCCCGTTACAAAACGTTAAGAAAGGCATTGTGGGTGCGGCAGTCAGTGAGGAGATAGGGCCCCTGGCCACTTACACACCCCGTTACAAAACGTTTAGAAAGGCATTGTAGGTGCGGCAGTCAGTGAGGAGAAATGGACCCCTGGCCACTTACACACCCCATTACAAAACGTGTGGTAAGGCATTGTGGGTGTGGCAGTCAGTGAGGAGAAAAGGACCCCTGGCCACTTACCCATTACAAAACGTGTGGGAAGGCATTGTGGGTGTGGCAGTCAGTGAGGAGATAGGGCCCCTGGCCACTTCCACATTACCACATTGCAAAACGTACACACCCCATTGGGAAGGCATTGTGGGTGTGGCAGTCAGTGAGGAGATAGGGCCCCTGGCCACTTACACACCCCGTTACAAAACGTTTAGAAAGGCATTGTAGGTGCGGCAGTCAGTGAGGAGAAATGGACCCCTGGCCACTTACACACCCCATTACAAAACGTGTGGTAAGGCATTGTGGGTGTGGCAGTCAGTGAGGAGAAAAGGACCCCTGGCCACTTACCCATTACAAAACGTGTGGGAAGGCATTGTGGGTGTGGCAGTCAGTGAGGAGATAGGGCCCCTGGCCACTTCCACATTACAAAACGTGTGGGAAGGCATTGTGGGTGTGGCAGTCAGTGAGGAGATAGGGCCCCTGGCCACTTACACACCCCATTACAAACGTTTAGAAAGGCATTGTAGGTGCGGCAGTCAGTGAGGAGATAGGGTCCCTGGCCACTTACACACCCCGTTACAAAACGTTTAGAAAGGCATTGTAGGTGCGGCAGTCAGTGAGGAGATAGGGCCCCTGGCCACTTACACACCCCGTTACAAAACGTTTAGAAAGGCATTGTAGGTGCGGCAGTCAGTGAGGAGAAATGGACCCCTGGCCACTTACACACCCCATTACAAAACGTGTGGTAAGGCATTGTGGATGTGGCAGTCAGTGAGGAGAAAAGGACCCCTGGCCACTTACACATTACAAAACGTGTGGGAAGGCATTGTGGGTGTGGCAGTCAGTGAGGAGATAGGGCCCCTGGCCACTTACACATTACAAAACGTGTGGGAAGGCATTGTGGGTGTGGCAGTCAGTGAGGAGATAGGGCCCCTGGCCACTTACACACCCCATTACAAACGTTTAGAAAGGCATTGTAGGTGCGGCAGTCAGTGAGGAGATAGGGTCCCTGGCCACTTACACACCCCGTTACAAAACGTTTAGAAAGGCATTGTAGGTGCGGCAGTCAGTGAGGAGAAATGGACCCCTGGCCACTTACACACCCCGTTACAAAACGTTTAGAAAGGCATTGTAGGTGCGGCAGTCAGTGAGGAGAAATGGACCCCTGGCCACTTACACACCCCATTACAAAACGTGTGGTAAGGCATTGTGGATGTGGCAGTCAGTGAGGAGAAAAGGACCCCTGGCCACTTACACATTACAAAACGTGTGGGAAGGCATTGTGGGTGTGGCAGTCAGTGAGGAGATAGGGCCCCTGGCCACTTACACATTACAAAACGTGTGGGAAGGCATTGTGGGTGTGGCAGTCAGTGAGGAGATAGGACCCCTGGCCACTTACACATTACAAAACGTGTGGGAAGGCATTGTGGGTGTGGCAGTCAGTGAGGAGATAGGGCCCCTGGCCACTTACACACCCCATTACAAACGTTTAGAAAGGCATTGTAGGTGCGGCAGTCAGTGAGGAGATAGGGTCCCTGGCCACTTACACACCCCGTTACAAAACGTTTAGAAAGGCATTGTAGGTGCGGCAGTCAGTGAGGAGATAGGGTCCCTGGTCACTTACACTCCCCTTTCCTATACGTGTGGGAAAGTTATTGTACATACGGAGGGATAAGTCAGTCACACAAGGACTGACCAACGTGGGGCCACTGAAAGCCTTCTCTGAAATTTCACCGTCGTTATGTGATACCTAGACTATTTTCTTTTCTAATAAACTCTATTATCATATTTATCGTGTTATATCACCACGCCCCCTACCTTCCTGGTAACTCCGCCTAACACTGGTAACGTCACCAATAAACGGTTCGATACGATGGACAATTAACGATACCGTTTAACCGCACTTATCGCCATTCTTAAATAGATTGTATACATAGCGGATAGAAGATTTCCGATTAACCGACAGCAAGATTTCACACTGCACGAGTAAACACAACGGAAGTTGATCGCTCACGATTTGTTTATTTGTTCTTTAACGTAATGTAATATATATTTGTTTGTTGATCAGTTCCATCCCACCTCGGATAAGCCCAATGGATATTCGTCAGAAATATCGGAAATGAAAATCCTGGTTCGAAGCTTTATCAGCTTAACCATGAATTAAAATCTTTAAAACCAGTACACTGTTGAATGTTGTTGTAGTAAAGTTTTAGTTGATCTCTGAAATCTTTGCTGCACCAAATCCTGGCTTATTCCAAGTTTGTATTTGATTTCTATTTTGATGAGTTAGTAAATTTATTTTCCTCTCTTGCCTCTTAACCTCCTTATTTTAAAACACTTAGGCCATAGCATCACTAACGAGTCCCCAAAAGTACGAATGAGCTGTATGATGTAGCATCACTAACGAGTCCTAGAAGGATAAAACAGTTGTATGATGTAGCATTACTGACGAGTCTTAGAAGGACGAAACAGCTGTTTAATGTAGCATTACTGACGAGTCCTATAATGACGAAACAGCTGCGTGATGTAGCATTACTGACGAGTCCGAGAAAGACAAACAGCTGTAAGATGTAGCATCACTGACGAGTCATAGAAGGACGAAACAGCTGTATGATGTAGCATTACTGACGAGTATTAGAAGGACGAAACAGCTGCATGATGTAGCATCACTGACGAGTCTTAGAATGACGAAACAGCAGTATGATGTAGCATCACTGACGGTCATAGAAGGACGAAACAACTGTGTGATGTAGCATCACTGACGAGTCCTAGAATAACGAGACAGCGGTATGATGTGACACCACTGACGAGTCCTAGAAGGACGAGACAGCTGTATGATGTAGCATTATTGACGAGTCCTAGAATGACGAGACAGTGGTATGATGTGACACCACTGACGAGTCCTAGGCGAAACAAGTTTATGATGTAGTTTATTTCATTGTTTGAAACTAATTCTAAATTTATATCGAAATCTACTATTTTCCTACCCGTGTGTCATTGATACAATCATTACAGGAGATGAACATGACGAACTAAGATGACAAATCTTTAAGGATTTCTTATGTGTCAAGACGGTAACGGCCTACCCTGTGACGGATTTACGACATCGATATCGATACGCTATCTTTAGCCGATACACGGATATGTAAGTAAGTATATATCTACACAGGTTAAACAATTATATCAAATTTACATATTACACGTCAAAATGAACCAGTATAAATAAGAGTCAATGACAGAGTTTTCATTTCTGGACCTGTATGAAAGAGGACACTTCAAATTGTGCGTGTCACAGAAAATTATATATGAATAACTTTTTTTCGACGGACAAGTTCATTTGAAAAAAAAGAAATTTGGAAAACTGAATAACTATTTCTTGAAATTAACTTACCTGGACTTATAAAAAGGTGACACTTCAATTTTCAAAAAGTTACTGAAATGTATGTTAGAATTCCGCAGGCGCTTCTATATCTAACAATCTGCCTCATATTGGTGGGTAATTTCTCTACATCCGGGGCCTTTGTGTGTCCGAGCGTGTGCCGATGTCATTACAACGTCACTGTATCATGCGATGTAGGTCTACAAACGATTCCGAGAGATATTTCGGAACTCACCAAATCACTGCATCTGGCTGGGAATGTTACGTTACACAACAGTTTCCATCGCGTCCGTCACACTGATTTACCTAACTTGTCCGATCTCCGTCACTTTACGTTCAGTTTTAATGACATAGAGTCTATCGAAGACTACACATTTAGCCAATTTAAAGAACTCCGGCAACTGAAATTGAACAACAACAACATCAAAAAGGTTGGACCAGAAACATTCAGCGGGCTTTCAAAACTGGAAGTTCTAGATCTGTCTGGAAATTTGGGTATAAAAATCCAAGACGGAACATTCCGTGTGCTTCCTTCGCTCAAAGAATTGTATATGGGAGAGATAAACCTACAGGAATTAGATGTTGCTGTTTTTGACGGTTTAAATGATTTGGAAGTTTTGGACATACATGGTAATTTGATAAAAAAATTTGATATACACCGTATGAATTTATTTCCTACGTTGAATGTATTGGACATTTCCTCAAACTCATTGATGATGGTTGATGACAGTGTATGGGATACCATGTCTAAACTACAAACAATATATATTGGTGGGAACCCATGGCAATGCAATTGTCTGATGAAAAGAATAAAGCGTTCTCCAAGGCTCAGAAATATCACAGAGGCCGTGATTTGTGCTGGACCAAGTCAACTTCAATACTTGCCACTTTCGCGTGTCTCTGAATCCGATTTACAATGTCAACCCCCGAAGATTTTAACGTGTGCCACGATTCCGACACGTATAACGACGGGGGACGTCTTACAAATTTCCTGCAATCTATCTGGAGATCCATTCCCGTCCATAGAATGGACAACACCAAGTGGTGACCGGCTGTATCCGTACAATTCTACCCTAGGATCGTTTTCTGTGAGTGACAATGGATCCTTAACTGTATTTTCTAGCTCGATGATAGACAGTGGGAAATGGACAATGAAATTATCGAACCATGCAGGGATGGTTGAGAGAGAATTCACAGTTGATATTCAAGCCATAACACCAACTACGAGCCCGCGAGTTATAATTACACCATTTCCAACCAAACACACCATAACGGCGCAAACAACCAAGATGCAACGACCACCTGAAAACCATACGCCAAGTAAAAATATATATGGTGTAGCTTCATCAACACCCAAATCGTCTTCTTTGATCACAACGCCATTACAGATTCCTCTAATAACACAGATGAACGCCAAGTTATCACAGCAAACAATGGCCGACTTCAATCGCCAAGGTAACGAAGAGTCGACAAGCATGGGTTATGTAGGTATTATAGTGGCCTCTGTAGTGGGCGGCTGTAGTTTAATCATCATCACGACATTGCTTATACTTCTGTATAAGTGTATCTCGGCCAAGAACAGAGTCGGAACTTCCTTTCCGGAAAATACAAGGCCTACCAATACTACCAATGAGTTAGTTTGATTTTCTTCTCTTTCCTGTTCTCTCCCGATGCCATATCTTAATTCGGGTCACGGCACAACAATTACACGCGCAGCGCTATACACCTCGTTACTACTTATTGTTCCTGTTTCCCCCCAGTGTACTTTTAGATGTTACCGTTAGTATTCTGACCACGCAGTACTTGGATAAGATGTAGACGGAATGTTGATATACTGAACATATCGTATGGTAAATATACTGCATATATCTACACCATTGAATTTGAATCTTTCCTTCCTTATATTTGAGATTTTCAATAATTTATTCATAATAGTAATTTTCATCTAAGCATTGTTATTCTTGACTGTATCAAAATATTAAACCCATAAAACTGCTGCTAAATAGTTCCCGTTACCATGACAACGATCGAGTGAATATGTGTGATATCGTAAGGTCCCGTTACCATGACAACGATCGAGTGAATATGTGTGATATCATAAGGTCCCGTTACCATGACAACGATCGAGTGAATATGTGTGATATCGTAAGGTCCTATTACCATGACAATGATCGAGTGAATATATGTGATATCGTAAGGTCACGTTACCATGGCAATGATCGAGTGAATATGTGTGATATCGTAATGTCCCGTTACCATGACAATGGTCGAGTGAATATGTGTGATATCGTAAGGTCCCGTTACCATGACAACGATCGAAGGAATATGTGTGATATCGTAAGGTCGTGTTACCATGACAATGATCTAGTGAATATACAAGGTCCCGTTACAATGACAATGATCTAGTGAATATTTAAGGTTCTGTTACCATGACAAAGATCTAGTAAATACGAATGTCATGGTTTATATGATGAAATTGACATGTGTATGTCTGATGGACACATTGTGACATCAGTCCATCACAAACATGGGCAGTGTGTTATATATATATCATTACGTATTGTTTTTAATCTATTCACCACTTATCTTTTGTATTCTGTAATAATTACATCAACAAATTCTGCATAATATGTTTTATACAGTTTAGTGTACATTGTTTTTGTTAATTTTTATCGTTTATGTAATTCACTTAATTAACTTTTGTTTATGTTTACTTTATATTAAAAATAAACATTGTTGTTTTCATGATTTTGAATTGATTATTATTTTTATGTAATAGTGATCTTCTATATAGTGACGATCTATCTTAACCTGTGGAAAGTTGATTTAGAATTTATTGAATGATTTGCCAGTTCACACCTCCATCTTATTTGGACGATTATTTTGACTATTCTGGATTTTTTTTGGAAGTTTCTTCAACGACTTGTAGAAAAAGGACGAAATAGTTGTATGATGTAGCATCACTGACGAGTCCTAGAAGGACGAAACAGTTGTATGATGTAGCATCACTGACGAGACCTAGAAGAACGAAACAGCTGTATGATGTAGCATCACTGACGAGTCCTAGGACGAAACAGTTGTATGATGTAGCATCACTGACGAGACCTAGAAGGACGAAACAGCTGTATGATGTAGCATCACTGACGAGTCCTAGAAGGACGAAACAGTTGTATGATGTAGCATCACTGACGAGACCTAGAAGGACGAAACAGCTGTATGATGTAGCATCACTGACGAGTCCTAGAAGGACGAAACAGCTGTATGATGTAGCATCACTGACGAGTCCTAGAAGGACGAAACAGCTGTATGATGTAGCATCACTGACGAATCCTAGAAGGACGAAACAGTTGTATGATGTAGCATCACTGACGAGACCTAGAAGGACGAAACAGCTGTATGATGTAGCATCACTGACGAGTCCTAGAAGGACGGAACAGTTGTATGATGTAGCATCACTGACGAGACCTAGAAGGACGAAACAGCTGTATGATGTAGCATCACTGACGAGTCCTAGAAGGACGAAACAGCTGTATGATGTAGCATCACTGACGAGACCTAGAAGGACGAAACAGCTGTATGATACAGTTTAATTCATAATTTGGCTTTACCGTTTCAAACTCTGCATTGAAGCATATTTCACATTTAGTGACGTAACAAATGCCTTTGACCTTTTGACCTTGATTGGAACTAGTCCACCATTCCCTGTAGATTTTTTACATTTCATTCGATTATTTCGGATTTTACTCTGTCTCCTCCTTGGTTTCAGGACTATATGCCCTTAACGTTACCGACGAAACAATTGTATGATCCAGTTGGCTTTTCTTACTTTACTTGTTTTAAACGTGCTATTCAATAAACTATCAACGCATTAATTTTAGTATCTCTTTTAGCCATTCTTAAATACACCTGAATATACGGTTTAATCTGGCACGGAAGAACGACGAGACGAATCCGGGAGTTTATAGACATTTCAGTTGAAGTGTTGAAGTCAATGCAAATGAAATCTTAACACCGCATTCCCCACCACACCAAGAAAAAAACAAAGCCCAACCAAACCAAGAAAACAACCAAACCTAGAAACATCACAATCCCCCACCATACCTGAAGCAGCATAATCCCCACCACACCAAGAAAACAACCTAACCTAGAAACATCACAATCCCCCACCACACCAAGAAAACAACCTAACCTAGAAACATTACAATCCCCACCATACCTGAAGCAGCATAATCGCCTACCACACCAAGAAAACAACCTAACCTAGAAACATCACAATCCCCCACCACACCAAGAAAACAACCTAACCTAGAAACATCACAATCCCCACCATACCTGAAAACAACCTAAGCATAATCCCCACCACACCAAGAAAACAACCTAACCTAGAAACATCACAATGAAGCAGCATAATCCCCACCACACCAAGAAAACAACCTAACCTAGAAACATCACAATCCCCCACCACACCAAGAAAACAACCTAACCTAGAAACATCACAATCCCTCACCATACCTGAAGCAGCATAATAATCCCCACCACACCAAGAAAACAACCTAACCTAGAAACATCACAATCCCCACCATACCTGAAGCAGCATAATCCACACCACACCAAGAAAACAACCTAACCTAGAAACATCACAATCCCACACCACACCAAGAAAACAACCTAACCTAGAAACATCACAATAGTTAATCCGCGTGCTTTTCTGAAGTAGCATAATCCACACCACACCAAGAAAACAACCTAACCTAGAAACCCCACCACACCAAGAAAACAACCTAACCTAGAAACATTACAATAAACAACCTAACCTAGAAACATCACAATCCCCCACCACACCAAGAAAACAACCTAACCTAGAAACATCACAATCCCCCACCACACCAAGAAAACAACCTAACCTAGAAACATCACAAACCCCCACCACCACCAAGAAAACAACCTAACCTAGAAACATCCATCCCCCACCACACCAAGAAAACAACCTAACCTAGAAACATCACAATCCCCCACCACACCAAGAAAACAACCTAACCTAGAAACATCACAATCCCCCACCATACCTGAAGCAGCATAATCCACACCACACCAAGAAAACAACCTAACCTAGAAACATCACAATCCCCCACCATACCTGAAGCAGCATAATCCACACCACACCAAGAAAACAACCTAACCTAGAAACATCACAATCCCCCACCATACCTGAAGCAGCATAATCCACACCACACCAAGAAAACAACCTAACCTAGAAACATCACAATCCCCCACCACACCAAGAAAACAACCTAACCTAGAAACATCACAATCCCCCACCACACCAAGAAAACAACCTAACCTAGAAACATCACAATCCCCCACCACACCAAGAAAACAACCTAACCTAGAAACATCACAATCCCCCACCACACCAAGAAAACAACCTAACCTAGAAACATCACAATCCCCCACCACACCAAGAAAACAACCTAACCTAGAAACATCACAATCCCCCACCATACCTGAAGCAGCATAATCCACACCACACCAAGAAAACAACCTAACCTAGAAACATCACAATCCCCCACCACACCAAGAAAACAACCTAACCTAGAAACATCACAATCCCTCACCATACCTGAAGCAGCATAATCCCCACCACACCAAGAAAACAACCTAACCTAGAAACATTACAATCCCCACCATACCTGAAGCAGCATAATCCCCACCACACCAAGAAAACAACCTAACCTAGAAACATCACAATCCCCCACCACACCAAGAAAACAACCTAACCTAGAAACATCACAATCCCCCACCAATGAAGCCCCCACCACACCAAGAAAACAACTAAATCCCCCACCACACCTGAAGCAGCATAATCCCACCACACCAAGAAAACAACCTAACCTAGAAACATCACAATCCCCCACCACACCCACACCAAGAAACACCACACCAAGAAAACAACCTAACCTAGAAACATCACAATCCCCCACCACACCAAGAAAACAACCTAACCTAGAAACATTACAATCCCCACCATACCTGAAGCAGCATAATCCCCACCACACCAAGAAAACAACCTAACCTAGAAACATCACAATCCCCACCATACCTGAAGCAGCATAATCGCCTACCACACCAAGAAAACAACCTAACCTAGAAACATCACAATCCCCCACCACACCAAGAAAACAACCTAACCTAGAAACTCCCCCACCACACCAAGAAAACAACTAAACTTAGAACATCACAATCCCCACCATACCTGAAGCAGCATAATCGCCTACCACACCAAGAAAACAACCTAACCTAGAAACATCACAATCCCCACCATACCTGAAGCAGCATAATCCCCACCACACCAAGAAAACAACCTAACCTAGAAACATCACAATCCCCACCATACCTGAAGCAGCATAATCCCCACCACACCAAGAAAACATAACGCTATCGTATTCAAATGTCTAATCTTCATGTTATACGTAATTTGTAAATGATATTGTTACAGTAGAAAGTAGCCAGCACATTTAGGATTGGACCTTTATCACCGGAAAGACTTATTACATATTACATCAACATATAAATAATATGAAGAAAATAGAATATACCTTTTAAAAGTAAACTATAATTAAGGAAAGTAGGTATATCCACGGCTGTACAGGTAAGAATAAATAAAAATATGCCAAATGATCGACTATTATTATCACACCTCAGAGAATACCACACCAGCATTCTCAGTCTAGCATAACCATACCGAAACAGATAACGTTCTTCAATAAGTGTTTATTACGTAAGCAACCCACCTGTATCATATAGTGGACAGATTTAAGGTTTTAAGAATGACACTGGATACGTTAATCTATATATACACAAACCCCAAAGTAATGACGTTTGTAGGGGTGGGTCTGTGGTGATGCCGGTATTTAATACAAATATTTGTAATTTTTAACTGAGTGAGTGGGCGTGTTGAGTATTATCTCACTACATGATTTAGAGAATCGGAAGTGACTTTTTTCAGTTTTTAACGGTAGTTTCTCCTCCTCATTGGACAATTTATTAGCCAATCTCCTAAATTTACATTCGATGTCAGATCTACTATACATTGTACTATACATAGCGATATTCCATAGACAACTCTAACTTCATCAAATTTTCACTTCTTTCTCTATTTGTTTTTCCTGTAAATATTTATCTTATTCTTGGTTTTACCCTAAGGTTCACTAAGAGAAATATCCTCTAATTAGGAACTACAGTGTACTATAGCTCTGGTGTGTATTTGACAGTGGTGGTATGTGATTTAATGAAAAGGGATACCACTTTTTGTTTAATGTTTAAGACACAATTTCTGTCAATGAGGACCTCAATATCACGTCGCTTTGACACATGTTTTGTATCTAACAGAACATGACAGAAAATTTCCCGTTTTCGAGTCGTTATTCTTATTCTCGATATATTTCGTTCTTTTTGGACAAGTTCGTGCAGGTTTTTGTTATACAAGATACCTGATCCACTCAATAAATCACGTTAAATTTCTGATTTTGTTTACCACCATCGGAGCCCTTCAATTCTACATCAGAATTTAACTGTGGAATTAAGAGGACGATTATACACATGAAATTAATGTTATTTCATAACTATCCTTTAATAAGAACTAAATGAATGTCATTATTCAAACTTTCAAATATATGTTAAGTTCCATGTGGTAATTCCTGGAGCATCAAACGCAGTAGTTTATTGATCTGTTTCTTCTCTTATCTATTCATCTGTTTATTGTTATTGTATCTGAAGAGGAAAATGAAAAGACAATTTAAACTGCGAAACGTTTTGAAACCTACACACCCTCTATACTCCAATGGTTACTATCATTTTCGCTACATGCATTCCTGGAACATGTCATGGCAGAATTACAGGTTCTGTGTGCGACACCTTGTGGACAAGAAGAAAAGTCTAGTTTGATTCTTTGATGTACATCAAACGAATCTCGAGGTCGCATAGCTATATATTGTTATTGCTTTGGAGTTTGGTGTCGCTCCTTTGTAATCTTCAAAAAAGCGGATCGGCCTATGATCGGTTGGTTTTTTCTCCTGAAACCAATCAAATTACTTCGTTTTTTAATTCAACTTTGTCGTGACATGTTCCAAAAATAAAGAGAGCAAAAGTGATTGTAACCCCTGGAGTATCGAGAATGAAACCCATATTGCACGTGTGCTTAATCATGCATGTTAAGTTTGTGGATTTAGTCCTGCACCTCAGACAGAGAGGGTGCATGTATTGTTTTTAAAACTGTACACGGAGCTAACAGACAGCGAATACTTCTATGGTATTCTCTGAGCAGGGTATCTATCCTCTACTAATTAGTTGTAAAGATTGCGGTTATAAAATATTGGCTTAAATTGTTGGGCAAAATATAAACTAGAGCAAAAATTACGCAAAGGCTCCTGAAAAAGTACGAGGAGAATAAGACCAGCTGTTCCAGAAGAGTAAGCGTTTTCTGTTTCATGGTCAATCCAGATAAGTGCCATGCTCAAATGAGAACTAGGCATACAATAACGGAACCAACAGGCAAACTAACTAATTTTGAGAAGCTTTGGTACATACTTAATCCATGCTTAATCAAAGAGAATGTCGCTTAAATTACTTTTAATTATTAGTAAACTGTTAGGGTACCTGTGTAAACAATTAGGTTAATCGGTGCCTTGTTCATAAAGCATGCTGTATATGTATCAGTATGCGTCATGGTAACTTCAGTTCTCCACTATCTTACAAACATGTATATTATTATGTATCTATGTATCTTGTATATCCCATGCTGCATTTGGGCATAAATTGAGACTAAAATTGATTCAATGAGGTTTGACCACTCCATTCATTTTGTAAAGTTTTGTTTCAGATTCATTAACACAAATATGTACCGAGGCTAGAAGGTGACCACCGACGTTTTCATAGGGTTTAAACGTTATGTTTTTATCACGGATTTTATCTATAAGGTTAAGTAGTATTTTAAAATTATAAAAATGAAAATTACCTGTAAGTTAAGAACAATATTGTTTAGAGAGGAAATGAAATAAAAACAGCCACAACAACTGAAACCAGAATTAATTCATATTTATTTTGGAACATAACGAAAAAAGTTTAGGAATAAATAACCCCTTTTTCGGTAAAAACACCAACTAAGTATTAACAACAACGAAATATACTTTTATTTGGATTTCAAAATGTTTCATTTTCAAAGACACATTTTCTTCACTACAAGAAATTTTCCTATTTGCGATTATTCATATAACGGCACGAGCTATATAACTAGCAAACTGTAACATCTTGAATGTCGCTGTAGTTTGTCTTAAACACTGCAAGTAAACAGACGAAAGATAGTTCAATTTAGGATACTGTGAAAGACGATAAATAAATAAATAAAGAAAACAATAAATAAATAACAACATTATGTACAGGAAAGTATAGCACGATATGAATAACTCAATCTAAGCTCAATAAAGCTGTCTTTAATTAATTTGAAAATGAATTATAACTTACTGTTAATTACATTGCTAAATTGGTACTACACGAATATCTTACACACTAGAATAATACATGCAATGAAATTAAGATGGACTTAAAAACAAGCACCGAGATTCATTAAATTGAACAGAAGATGGTAACTGCAAATAAGACATTTAAAGATTTCCCTTATAGGACCAAATTCACTAGAATAAAGAATGTTTGTTCATTCGATAGTTCAAACTTACTATTTTATTTAATTGCCGGAATATTTCACAAATTACAGACTATACTATTGACGATACATTTAACTCTCCTACAGAATAAAACTAAAACATTCCTTTTTTTTAGTTTGAATTGGTGAGGGCGTATTCTGCTTATTCTCACGATTTGACGAACTCCACAGAAAGCAACTTTCCTTTGAGCTCACAACATGAAAATAAATACTGAATTCATATCCTCAAAATATTAATATTGAAGATGAAAATGAATTAACAATATTATAGTAACCATAACAAGGAAAAATCAAACAAATAGTCCAACACAAAAAGAAAACATTGATCACTGTTATTGATGACATTGTATTTTTTCGTCGGGATCATAAAATCACATCGACATGTTATCGGCAACATTTCAACACCATCACTTACAAATCCAGTATGTATCAATCAGTTCTAGGTATATGGAAATAGCCAACCAATGTCTTAAAGGGGAATGCGATGCCAATTTAATTGAAGACACTAATCATGTATTATAATTAGAGTTTCTTGATATTTGATGTGTTACAATAAATCCGAACAAAATGATATAGAATGATAAACCTGTCGAATTTAATGCTCAAGATTAAACACCACTTTTTTAATCAGCGCCGGATGGAAAGGGAACTATTTGGTAGGTGTATTCCGACAGCAGTGATTCCTGTTACAGAATACAGCCTTAATCATCCGTATATTACATATCACAGTCAAACTTGTAAAAGTTCTTCCGTAGAAACGTTATCACAGTAAGACACAGAAATGTAAACAAAAATAACAGTAAACAAAAGTTTCAGAAAGTAAAAACCTCCATCAATATTACACGTGTCTTCTGTTATTAATCACGATTAAATTAGTTTTGAATAAAATCGATGTTTACGTCCACGAAATATCTTTTGACAGTGCGACATATAACCGCTTGTTCTTCACACTTGATGTTTTCTTTAGAAATCATCGGCCAGGCGACGACGACGTGGCGTTCTTACGGAGTCAAAATCATCGTCCTGTTTGATGCTGATATCCTCTACACGGTTACTATTCTTCTTCCTCTTCACGCAGTAGATCGTCACGGCGATGATGACGATAAGACACACACCTCCTCCTCCTCCAGCTCCAGCTATCATCATCATGTTCATTCCCCCACCTTCGTCGCTCGTCACCGGCGCCTTTTTATCTGTTGGCTTTTTCAGGTCGCTTTCATCTTTAGTCTTGTCCATGTGTTTTGATGCGATGCTTGTTGGATTCGGGTTGTTTTGATTGGGGAGTTTAGATGTTACCATACCTCCACTAGCTTGCTGATGATTGCTATTGCTAATCATCGAATTAGCAGGTATAACTTTTGATGTAGTCTGCTCTGACGTTCTTGCCGTTTTTGTTTGTGAAGTCGGTGTTGATGTCGGCATTGCTTTTGTCGGCGTCGTAGTAGATGTGGTTGTTGTCGACGGTGTTGTAGTCGTCGTCGTTGTCGCCGTTGTCGTTGTTGTCGTCGTCGTTGTCGTTGTAGTTGTGGATGTTGTCGTTTTTAGGGTGACAACAATTTTCAGTTGATGACTTCGCTGGCCGACTGTATTACTGACACCAAGTGTCCAAGTACCTTCATCGGTCTTTGATACATTAAAGATATCCAAGGAACCAGTTCTGGAAACATAGTAGTTCGAAGTGTTTTCGTAGGTAAATGCCACATATTTCCCATCGTGTCTCGTCCATGTCACATCCGGGTAAGGATCTCCTGTCAGCTCACATGACATACGAAGGGATGAAGTTTCCATGACTACATAGGTTTCAGTAGTGCAGTTTGTTATTTCGGGAGGCACGCACTTAAACTCTAAATCTGGAACGCGCAAAATCGGAGCATATTTTAGTCGTTCTGGTCCTGTACAAAATAAAGCATCACTTGCATACTCGGGATCCAATGCCTTTTTAGGTGCATGTTTCAACCATCGTAATTCACAATTACATTGTAGCGGATTTCCTGACAATTTTAAAGTTGCAAGATTTGCAAAAGAATTATTGTAACGTTTAGGCAGTCCCTTGAGAAGGTTTTCTGATATATCAAAGTGTTGTAGGCTGGGAAACATAGCCCCTAAATCAAACTCAATTTTCCAAATCTTGTTTCCATGGACATCCAAAATGCGAAGATTTTTCAAATTTGTTAACATAACTGGAACTAAGCGTTCCAAGTCCATGTCGGCAATATAAAGTTCTTGCAGATTTGAAAGGCTATCGAAAGATTTTTCACTGAGTTCACAATGTGGATTCCCACTGATCTGGAGGGTAATTAAATTGGTTAGTCCCGCAAATGTTTTGTCAGTTATTCGGGGAATGTTGTTAAAGGACAAATCTAAATACCTCAACAAGCTACGTGAAGAAAATGTGTCGTCTGCGATTGTATCAATTTCACAATGAGACATCGTTAATGTAACCAATCCAGGCATGGATTGAAAGTCGCTCTTATGTAATGCTGGGATCTTGTTGTGTGTCTGGAAGTTTCCCGAAATGGAAAGAACTTGGACATCATCGGTCAGCGGTGACGGAAATTTTGAGAATCCTGCACTGCAGCTCACCACCTTGGAGTTGGGGCACGCGCATCCCCGTGGACATTGTCCAGATGATTGACCTCTCCCACTTGAAATGATCATTATAAGAATAAACAGCATTGTTGCCAGTTTAGTGTACGTGTTCATCTCCATTCCTAAAAATGGTGTTCCTTTTGATGTTTAAAATTTATGTTCTTATTCACGAAACGTACGGAAATCTTCAGCGGAGATCGCTTCTTTAACAGAACGATATTTCACTTGTGCGATTTGTGAGGTTATGACACTGCCACAAGCTTATACTTTCTTTTGTATATATTATCTAAACACGTTAAGCAATATCTAAATATACCAACATAAACATTTAATCAATGTCAGCGTACAACGGACTTTCAATCTAACTTTCACGGTAGCAATTAAGATTAATATGGAGCGGCCAGGAGATATGAAAAGAGCGCCATTTGAAGCTTACTCGGCTGTATAGACAGTAAACTAGAGGATAACCGCATGTCAAATTCCACTATTGTACCCAGACTGTCCGGCTTTAATTATTCGGCCGTTTATATCTACAACTATTGAACATTATGTATTGAAGCAACAAAGGATTGTCAAATTTCCTTGGGAGTTTGATAAGCCAGAGAACAGGCACTTAGTCGCTATCTTTATCTATCCATCAGCAGTCGTGTAAAGGGCGACATGTGCCAAAGTTGGTGCAATACAGCAGGTCAGTAAAAATGATTAATTACAAAACCCCTGTGTTTAATACTTGAAACTCTGAACAACTTTTAAATATTAATAATTAAAAAACTCACATAAAATACATTTTGAATATCATCAAATTCAAGTTAACATGAAAACTTCACCATACTTCCCTGTTTTTGACACCAGACTCTCTACAGTATCCTGCGACCTTCACATTTTTATTTTGGTTTGGTATATAAATCATACCTTGTTAGTACAATCGCGGAGAGATTTATGTGAAACACAGATCGTTCTTTCTCGTCAAGCTTTATATGAACAAAGCCATACATATATCACCTGTATTCTGAAAGAGTATAATGCGTAATTTATAAAACATGTTACGTTTCCTTTCCATGCGTTAACGTCGTACTTGGCAAGATTTTTTTCTATTTCTCTGTTAATATATACAGGTGCTACATCGAGACCGCTGTAATTTGTAACATTTTCTATTGCTGAGATTTATAACATTCAATAACAATATAGATTAAGTAGAGTTATAAACGGAAATACAGCAGCTGAATTAGCTCTATACAAATAAAGCAATTACGAGAGTTATTTCCATCGTAAAACAAATCGTGTCAGTTGTACATTAAGTATCGGTAGATGTTACAATATTTTTGAATGCAGAAACACACAATTTCTGAACTAATATTTTTTATACCCATAAAATAAAACAGAATAAAATATACATATAGAATAATAACAGGTTTATGAACTTTTAATCTTGTCTATTTATAGGATTCCTAAATTGCACAAGTGTCTGTATAAATCTTTCAATGCCTTTGGAACTAGCCAATAACTGTTTCAGTCTTATATCATAACTTCAAAAAGCTTTTTATCACCATTGAAAAACCTGACATGAAATCCATTCAAGCTAAAGAAACGCCTTCATTTTCTGGTTTTATGCGAGTATATTTGATGAAATCGAGATAGCTTGGCGGTAAGATGTTTAAACAGCTGACTGGCAAACCTATTGGAATATTTTCCCGTCTTCATATGACCCTGTTGTGTAAACTACGGTAAAACAAGAAACAGAGCCCCTGTCTCGGCTGATCTCTTATTTCATTCGAGCTCGAATTAAGCGAAGATTTTACCGAATATGGTAATAAAAACTTTACAAAGTATTTAATTATCTTTAACGATATATTCATGGGGCCTTGTTTTAAATAACAAAAACAAACATGGCCATCGGACATGTAAACAACATCTTAGACAGTTTTTTTCTACATCAGTCACTTAATGATAATAATAATAATAATAATATCTTTTATTTATCCAGGGTTGCAAATTTAGACAAGTCTAGTTTACAATATGGCCCTGCCGTCAAATATATACACACATCACAGAAAGATGTTACATTGGATGTTACCGGTACATAAAATACATAGATTATGAATATTAATTAATTATAAGATATAATGTAGAACAAACATTATTACAATACATAGTTGGCTAAGATATATTACGATGTCATCGAAATATTGTAACTGTAAGATACATCAAAACAGGCGTAAAATATATTCAGATATCACAGATATCAATGATTGTTTCAAAGCTAAAATCTAAATTTTTGAGAAGAGCTCCTGTAGATATTTATGTTTGAAAACAGACACACTACAAGAATTTCTAATGTTTTCACTGATACCATTTAGTAAAACCGAGCAAGTATATACAAATGAGCGTTTAACATACTTTGTTCTAGATAAAGGAATATAAAAATTTGTTCGAAACGGAAGATCTTGTGTTTCTAGAGGTGACATCCCTAACATAGGTAAAAAGACTACACAAGACTCCTGGGGTATCTCCATGTAAAATTTTGAAGGCTAGAGTTGCTTTCCTAAAAGTGTGATATTCTTCAAAAGGTAGCCATTTTAACTGTTTAAAAAGAAATTTAGAAGGAGTGAGAACATCTTTCACATTCAATAAAATTCTCGCTGCCCTTTTCTGTAGTGTAGAAATCTTCTGGATATAAGATTTGTTACTAACCTTAAACCAAACTACCGAACAATAGATGAAGTGAGGGAAAACTATACTTTGATAAACTTTGGTAAGCACATCGTTTGACATAAATGGCCTTAGCCGTCTAAGTACACCTATCTTCCTTGAAATTTTCTTGGAAATGTAATTAATGCGTTCTTTCCAAGACAGACAGTTATCCACATAAACACCAAGAAGTTTTGCGGATTGTACAGTTTCAATAGATAAGTTGTCTACAGACATTTTCAGCTCACGACATCTGGCTAATTTCTGAGCTGATCCAATCAACATACACTGAGTTTTGCTAAGATTAAGACTAAGTTTATTATCTCTCATCCACTGGATTGTACATTGAAGATCCATTGTCATTTTCATTTCTAATGAATCAATTGATTTATCCCTTACACTCTGTGAGGTGTCATCAGCATGCATAGTTACTGAGGAATGTTTCAAACATTTGGGATAATCATTTATATTTAAAATAAACAATAGAGGCCCAAGTATCGAGCCTTGAGGCACACCAATACTAATGGGTGAAAAATCAGACATCACACCGCTGTTACATACAGCTTGTGATCTATTTGATAGATATGATAAAAAGAACTTAAGTGAAAGAGGAGACACATCATATGCTTTGAGTTTGTGTAAAAGAACGGAGTGATTAACTGTGTCAAAGGCCTTACGCAGGTCGATAAAAACAGCACCTGTCAAAAATCCTTCATCTATATTTTGTAACCATTTGTCTACTACGCTCACCAGAGCTGTATCTGTGGAATGATGAGGACGAAAACGAAATTGACAGTCACTTAATAACTGATTCTTGGAGAGATAATCATAAAAAGTATTATGTACATGTTTCTCCAATATCTTACTGAGAACACATAATACAGACACAGTTCTGTAATTATTGACTAGGGTAGGGTCACCAGCTTTAAAAATAGGTGTGACCTTGGCCTTCTTCCATTCAGAAGGGAAAACACCTTTAGATATAGACATATTATACAGAAATGTTAAAGGTGATACAATAGAATCACCTGCTAATTTCAATAACTTAACAGAAATGCCACCAATTCCTGTTGCTTTACCATCAGCCATTTGCTTGATTTCGGTAAGAACAAAATCTGGTGTTATACTTCGGATAACATAAGGATTACCAGAAACAAAACTGTCTATATTTGGAATAACATAAGGATTACCAGAAACAAAACTGTCTATATTTGGAATAACATAAGGATTACCAGAAACAAAACTGTCTATATTTGGAATAACATAAGGATTACCAGAAACAAAACTGTCTACTTTTGGTAAACTATCATCAAACGTTTTACCTATTTCTGAACCAATGTTACAGAAAAAAAGTGTTAAAGGCGTTAGCAACATCTACCTTATCAGAAATAGTAGTACCATCCATACTTAAATTAACAGTGAAGGAGGATCTTTTACTAGGTAAAAATTCCTTGATCTTTTTCCACATTTCTTTGGAGTTTTTGGAACACTGCAGGATAGATTCATCTAAGAAATTCTGCTTAGCTTGCCTAATTTTAAGAAGTACCCTGTTTCTACAAGCTCTATACAGTGACCAATCAGATTCTAAATTAGAACTTTTTGCTTTATGTAAATAATTACGGTTATGCATTTCATTGAAAACATCATCATTACTCCATTGGGCTGAATTTGATTTAACCCGTTTTTCACAAATGGGTGCATGTTTGTCAATACCAATAAGGAAAAGATCTTTAAATGCAGCCCAAACATCATCTATATCATCAAATGCCCATCAATGGGAACTCCACGGAACACATTTTAAATCAACAACCAAGTTCTTCAAATTAATATCCTTAAACTTGCGGAAATGTACAGTTTTATGACACTTAGGGGGACCACCCCTTAATTTACGAATGATATATACAAGGTGATGGTCACTACAGCCCAAAGGAATGACACCCGACTCCACACGTCCAAGTGAGTCCGAGACATTGATATTAGGAAGCTAACATTTTTTGGAAGATTGTGTAATTTAGGGAAAGAGAGTGTGTCTTGTACTGTATGTTTTACTCGCCTTTTTATGGCGGATGTAAGCACTAATATGCATTAAATTTGAATGATCGCGGATTCATGAATGATGTTGTTCGAGTTTTGAGAAAATATGATCTGTATGAAATGGTAAAAGAATGTTTAGCACGCGGATCATTTCCTTCAAAAAGTAAATGGAAGAACAAAGTAAGGATGATGACCGCGAGTTCTATAGATTTAAATTAATTCATAATAGCTCCCCACATATTGTGGAAGCTATCAATTAAGTTTTCTCAGAATAAGGAATCCATAGTTAGTATTATGAAACTTATTGTGTCCATCAGAAATGTAAACACAGTTGAATTATGTCACAGATGTGGCCAAACGTATGAAGATGTGTATACTCATATAGTCTTACAGTGCAATTTTACTGAAGAAATTCGAGATCAATTATGGTGTCAAATGATCAGTATCAGTGATCATGAGTTTAGCGTATATTTACATGATCACTCAGATTTTGACCTATTCCATATCTTGATTGGTGGAGAAGTAATGTTTGAATTGAATTTAAAAGAAATATCACAGTTTTACCTTAATTCAGTCCATTATGTTTCAAAAATGCTTAAAGCATATTATGGCTAAAATGTATATGATACAAATTACATCTAAAGAATTATCATTAAGTACAATATATATATATGAGTAATGTAATTATGATTCGTTTTATATGTTGCTTTGGTATTTTGTAACTATTTAATCATTATTATACTTATGTTATAATGATCACTGTGTTGCAAAAATGATGTACCTCAATGTTCCGATGTGATTTTGTAACGACTTAATTACTATAATTATCCTAATGTTATAATATCTTGGTAATAATTTTGATTTGCATGCCAATTCAACGTTCTCTTTCACTAAATTAATGTTGTTCTTTTTGTGAAATCTTCTTAAAGGAGGAAATAAAGAGAATAATAATAGATGTGATCGATGAGAGTACTCGAGTCCTTTGTGGGTGTGGTGATCTGCTGATGTAGGTTATGTAGTGCCATTAAGTCTTCTGGATGATTTGAGTTGATCTACATTAAAATCTCCCAACCCAAGTAAGTTATTGTTTATCAGGGATAGTGACTCCATAACCGAGTCAAATCGGTCATACCAGTCGACGAGTTCACCCGGAGGCCTATACACAGTAACACACATTATTGGAGAGGAGTTTTTCGGCCTTAAAAGAACTGGTAAGAGTTCCAAACTAGTATCACAATTCAGCAGAGGAGAATATATCACGGACATAGGTAACGACTCCCCCTCCACGTCTGTTCCGACCTTTACGAAAGACGTTGTATCCAGGAACAGAAAGTTCACCATCATCAATAGTTTCATCAAAATGGCTTTCACTTATGGTTAAAACGTCAAAGGTATGGTTCCTCAGTAAAATTCTAATGTGGTCCAGTTTGTTAAGAAGACCTCTGACATTCAGGTGAGCTATTCTTAGACCATGACGCAAATTCTGGACCAATTTGTCAGAAGACTGGTAAAAATCATAAAAAGTAGAAATACTTTCCACACAGTCATTGCAAAGTCATTCTAAGCTGCCAGGTGGTGTTTGGCTAGTAGTATTCACACAAGCAGAGTGGACAACTACGGGACAGCCAATACAGGCAACAGTCTCGCTTGGCTGAACTTCTACTGATACCAGGAGGGCCTGGGTTCAGATTGACATCATTGGACAAGAGTAGGTACCAATGCCCATGTGGGTTGTGTCAACAGTGGTTGGTAGATTGTTGTTTTAACCATTATAGTCAATCTCACCAAAGTGAGCACAGGTAACCAAAAACTGTTTAAATAATTATACATAAGCCACAGGTAAAAAAATGTCCAAAAATATAAACATAAGCCAATACTGCTATATAAGGACTCGAGATGACATTACAATTCATAACCTGATATTCATTCCACAAATTGAGACTTATTTCATACTTGGGACTGAATTTCAGATTCATTTATATTGTACTAATATTACTCTTGTGTAATTTACTCTTGTAATAATTTGATTAACTTTATTGTAGATTTTATTTGCTTGTCTGTATTTTGTGTTTAATTTATTTAACTTTCTTTCAGATTTCTAGTGCTTATATTAATTTTGTGTTGATAATTATGTTTTAAATAATTTGATTGTATAATTTGCTTGTCTATATTTTGTGTTTAATTTATATAACTTTCTTTCAGAATCTAGTGCATATATTAATTTTGTGATATGGTGATATTGTGTATAATAACTGTGTAATTCATTGAACTCGACGTAATATCTATACATAGCATTTGAGACATGGCGTATCTTCAAGTTCAAGTCAAATTTGTTATGAACAAGCGTGGAGGTCAAAACTTGCTTCATAACGGTTTCCGGTATCGTGTAAAGATACACCATTATCACATTAATCTCCAGGAGCACCAGCACACTAATGCTCCCCGACGACATTCTGTATCGGTGAACAGGACCATTACTCATTATCAAAGATCCTAGCCACCAAGTCGTTGTCTTAGCGAACACTAACCTAGACGCTAATTTCTATGGAAGTAACAATATAACGACTTATAATTTGTCTTGGCGAAATGAATACTGCACTTGCATACTTCATACCCATAAACATGGACCAGCTACGGGCTAGTCGTTGTACACGTACAGCGACCGAGATTATAGGATCCCTAGCGCAAAAATATACCGGTATTTGGTATCAACTGTTATAGATATAACCAGGTGTGATATATACGTCCCTGATATAACCATAGATATAGACAATTAAATATCTGATAAAATCTTCCTTGGTAAACTGATGGACGACTAGACAGTTAAAACGTTGTGTGTGTGTTTTTTAATATAGTTTGACACAAGTACAGCTTACCTATGTCCCTATAGACTTCCCGCCAGCCGGACACAAAACACGTGGATGCCGGACTTTGTTTATACGAGAACATGCACGTGTCAACAGACTCGGCTCGTGTATTCAGTAATGTCAACTTGATACATATATGTGAGCATGGTGGCTATATTTTTTACATCGTATCATCGACGTGGTAAAAAGATAGTTATCGGTTTTAGTATAATTCACAATATTTTCATATTTCTTGTCAATATTAAAGTGACCTTGCAACACGGACCAAAAAGTGAATATCTAATCACATTGCTTTGTACCAAAGTGTACGTCTAAGTTCACAATTGATAGATTCGGATGACTTCGGATTTTATCGTGTGATCTGCACATTACACGTAATGTTTTTACTGTGACTTCCCCCCCCCTCCTCCCCGAGAGATGCTACGATACAACAAAGAAAAGTAGATGTTGGAGTTGATCATTGAAATATCGACTTCTAAATTTGACCATGTGCCAAAGTGATAATGCACGTGCCGACCAATACAAAACACCAATAATGAGTTCGAGTGTTCGCCATTGTGTGAGGTAAAACCGAATAGTTTGGAGTATAGCAAACCTTCATTGTTTAATTTGTGTGATGTCAGTTTTTTTTTCTCCTGGAACCAAGCAAATTTCTTCGCTTGTGCCTTCAATTTTGAACAAATTCAACAGATTTGTGCACCAATATTCACAGGAAACAAAATAAAACAAACTATTTCAATATTTATATGATATTTATTCAATGACATAGAACATATGCACTAAATACTAATAACTACTGTATATCAATACAGAACATTTCGCTTCCCTCTTCAGTGATTATGGCTCATTTGACAAACCACGACATTTTTCTCTTTATCACGTTCTATATCAACCAACTACTGATTTTGACTAGATTTGAAATTAACATTGCTTTTGTCTCATTAATCAATTTTACCTATCACGAAATGATAATCAAAATAGCACAAATCAGTGGAACAACAACATTTAAGGATACATAGTATGTATACCTACTACAGTCCTAAGGGGGGTAACTCTTACAATGATTACAGGTAACTTTCTAGCTTACCACATTGTACAACAGAGATTAAAAAAAAAACACTTCATTTTAGTTCTATTTAGATTCGCTTTTCAATGAGTAAATACTTCACCAAGTTATGACAGGTTTGTTGTCAAACATGTAATGGATGTTAAAATAGATCATGTCTACCTACCATAGCAAGATTGTTCATTGCTTTAATTCTTATTTCTTATACGTGTTGATGCCCGAGGAAGGCAGGTTATGAAAGTTCATGCTGAGGTTTGTTGTTTCTTCTGTTATATAGTGGAATTAAAATGGAAACATCAATAATACAAATTTAACCTTGTTAACCATTTGTAGCATCAACAAAAATGTACCACTCTCGGAGAACCAGATCCAACTGCACAGGCCTTACATAAATATCAACACGTAAATATCACACCATTCTGCACCACATATAAATTGTATCTGATATCTTACTGCTATCTGATTCAGATGATATTCCATGTTATGATTCATTAAAGAAAATCTTACCATCACTCTTTGACCACATTTCAATCACTATACTTACAATTTCACCTCACATTTCATCATTTTGACGATTGCATGATAATTTCCTTAAAAGATCTTCAACTTTCTTCAATCTCAAGTGTGTGTTTTTGATTTATTAATTATCCAAAAAAAAAAAAAATAATCTTACACAGCAGCAACAAAATGTACAGGAAACTGTTTTTAGAATGTTCATTGGTATTTTTTAAACTATCAATGTTTTCATACTGTAGTAGTACATAAGTTAGAGAAGGGAACCAATTGCTTTTTATCATTTATATAACAAAGATATTGTGATATTAAAGAATCTGTCTACCAGAGACAACCACCTTACCTTTTTTTCCATGCACCATAATTACTATGTAACAAAACACAAATAATCACATATTTCATGATAAATATTTAACAAACAACTTTTGATCCCCATACAAACATTTCTTAATTCCCTCTCACACAACCAATCATGACAAAAACACTCTTTGTTCAAGGTACAACTGGAATGAAACATAGATTTCAGATATGAAAAGTTTTCAACCCACTTTAAGAGCAAATCATCACTTTTGTTTTCATTATTTTTAACATGTTATCAATATTCTATATTTACACACACTGTACAGTACTTCATTATATCAAATTACCGTTTAAATTTCATTTTATTCTACTTAATCAAAGAATTCAAATCAATTTTCAAGAATTGTGGAAAAGAATGGAATGTTGGGAAAACAAATTGCTGAAAATTTCAAAATGATCATTAATACATTTATTGACAATAATAACTAATCCAATGTGTACCCTACAAACTTCACTTTGAATACATTTCTTGAAACTTCTTGTTTACTTGTTATGGCAAAAGTGAAGATATACTCCAATTAAAAAGAAGAATAACTTGCCCTTTTAGAAGCCAACAATTAATGTCTGTAGCATTGCTGTACTCTGTATCTTAATATTACAAATATTTAAATAGATTCATTGTATGAATCAGATTTAAAGTAACTACTACTTACTCTATATACCCTGTACACATTACTAGCAATATAATGTAATGCAATTTAAATCATTTCACAGATTATTTATCAGTAATTTTCAGTCATTCTTGGTTACATACTACAATGTACATACTGCTCAATCAAGCATGAAATAAAAATAAGCTCTACTTCCATGAAAATCAATATTTACAGACTGATGAAGTGAGAATATTTGATAACAAAAGGAAATCACAGTAGATATAAAACTAATCATTCACATGTTGATACATGTTTGTATTGTTCGAGACATGATGTTTGAAGCATATTACAATGTAAGTTGTATATATTATATGGATAAATATTTATCTGAATATAAATCTACAACTGATGATAAAAATGTGTACCCAAGGATTTCTTAAGTTTTGACATGGATTATGAATACTGCACTGTTGAACCTTATTACCCCAAATATATCAGTATGTTCAAAAATCACTCCAAGGCTACTTTCATTGCCAACCTTGTGTAAAATTACGGTATCTTCCATTGCAAAAAGCTGGAAACACAAATCACAAAGTATGTACAGGTACATGTTTTTTGTGTGTCCAGCACTTGTGCCTCCATCTTTGTTTGTTTCCAAAGTATTATTTCCCTCACAAAAACCAGCCGATGACAACAACAACATTTACATAAAATTTCATATTTTACCAATATTTGTCCTCTAATGGTATTCTTACGTTAATAAGCCCATGCCTGGTAATACCTTGGCAATCTATTTCTATTAACGTTTAGTAGAATTACAAACACTTCTGAATTAGCCTGCAATAAGTTCAGCTCCAGACATTGAGCCAGAAATTGTATGTAAGCGATGAGCTTACAGCATGTTCAGTGAGCAGATTTTTTCTTTATTTTCAGACAAATCAATCTTTACTGTAGACAACTGATGTTTGATATATTTGGAAACATCAACAACTTACTATTAAAATGAACAAATTAACCAAAGAGAACATGGAAATGCATAAAAATGTATTAATGTTTTTGGCCCAAAAGATCTTTGTCTACAAACAAATGGTTTTTAATGAAGCTTGAATTATGATCATTCAAGAAGGATTGTTGGAGACATCAGTAGAATAGAATAAATCTACCACATTTACACTTTCTTTATTTGAATCTATTCCTCATCTTTTCCTCTCCAGACGTATCTTCAGAAGGAGCTGAGCTAGCAGCAGCAATATTTCCAAATATGTCCAGTAGGTAGTGTTCCCTAGGTCGTACATAATATAATTGTATTAATGGTCTGAGACAGCAGTTAATCTGTTCCCATCTTCACTCCTGTGATCTGTGAGGAAAATGAAAAAATAACTTATTTATCTTTTTGCTTGAAAAACTTATTGAATGAATGCTTGAGTGTCAAATTTAATACATATCTAACTTACATGCTCATTTAATACTGAATACCTTCAGTTCTCTAAAATCCAACAAGAGTATCAGTGAAACTGAAGAATGCTCCCCAAAAACAACTTTTTTGGACCCAATATTTTAACAAAGGGCAATACATGTATTTCTGTAATTAAAGGGTTTCAGGCACTGAATTTGTTACATTGTACATGTATATCCTCTTTGAACGTCCAATGTATTCACCAAGTTTCATTACCCTTGCTTATATGAAAGCGAGTTATGTACTTGTCAAAAACAGTTTTACAAAGGGCAATAACTCTGTAATTGAGAAGCCGAGGCCCTGAATTTGATACACTGCACATCCTCTTAGTATGACCAACGTATACACCAAGTTTTATACTACTTGCTTAACCGTGGGAAAAGTTTTGCTCCAGACAGAGAAGGATGGATGGAAAGACGGATGGAAAGACAGATGGCAAAGCTCAACTATATGCTCCCTTGAAAACATTGAGTTGAGAAATAAATACCCAATCATACTGTACTTACTTGCAAGATAGCAACAATGATTCCAAAGAGACCAATTGCAGTGGCAAAGATTTCTATAATTAGGAGCTTTACAAAAAGACTGGCATTTTGGGCATCGGCTAAAGCAGCACCAGATCCAACAATTCCAACACTGATCCCACAAGCAATGTTAGATAATCCTACTGTGAGGCCAGCAGCAAACATCTGGAAACCTAAAACATACAGATAGTTGTAACATTGGGACAATAGATGGAACAATCTGCTCCTGGCACTTGTATATTATTTGTTTCCTTTAGACCAAAATGGTATGTTTACACAAACAATGAATGTGAAGTTTGAGTTTTTTAATGGATTAATTTGTAAGTGAAACATCATGAAAGAAGTTTCTGCATATGGTAGACAGTTTTCATTTTGAAAGTTGTCTGAAAAAATACTGAAAGTAAACACTGTTAACTGTCTAACCTTACCTGCATAATGGGAATCCCTTATAACAGTTTCTGATGCAGTGAGTGGGTCATAAGTCTGAAATATAAGAAAAAAATTTTATCAGGCCCATCAAATACAATGTATTCTCTTACAAACTGATATTACTTTTTATTGAAGTGATATTAAACATCAAACCTGGTTTTAACCAATACAAAATGTCTTTTCCTGCAAAAACCTGGATTTATTCATTTAGACATGTACATCTATGACAATGCCATTTAAGAAAGAATTACAATTGATTTGATTAATTTTTGTGAAGAAAAGTTTGACCTATCAGATATAGAGAACAAAAAAGTTAATTACGTGTAGATTCTCTTCAATCTAGAGCTTAACTCTAATATGAGACATACATACATACAGTACAAATTAATCAGAATGAAGGCATATTTAATGTTTGTCAACATTTAAACACATGAGAGTTGCAGACATTTTTATAGGACAAGACACTTACCCCTAATTGGTTAGCAATGACAATAGCCATGATGATACCATAGATGGCAACAGCCTCACAGAAGATGATACTGATCAGATTCTTTGTTTTGATACGAGGGGCCTTAACTCCGCCTCCGAGGATGCTCACTCCTGTGGTAAATATTCCCCTGTAAAACAATGCCACAAGGATATTCAACATTTCATTTTTGTTCTTCTAGACATGCCATCATATAAATTTTCATGGCGATCTTAATTCAATTATTTTCCACTGATTGTGAACCCCAAGTTTTATCTTCTTCGGCCTCATTTTGTGCATATACTTTATGAAATATTCAGTACAATTACTTACACTCATCTGAATGACTGTAAAATATTGTTGTATTATTATCATATATAGGTTAAGATCCATTCATTCTTGTAATAACATCCTTTAAAATATGTACCTCAATTTCATTTCATTCTTTTGAGAGGTAATATGTAAATGCTGACAGGTAGTAGGTGTTTTAATATACATCTGGTGCATATACATTTTCTTGGTGTCTACCTTATGAAATGTTTAAGTTTAAAACTGTGCCTGATAACTACTAACTGGTGTAGAATGGAGTAAGATTGTTTTCATAACTTACCAGGCAGCTCCGACTACTGACAAGGAGATTGACAAGCCAATACCTATACTCGCCCACATAAATGGAGAAGTGCTTTCTAGAAACCTGGAAAAAATGAAATGTCAAAGTATTATAATACATTACAGACCTCACAATGTTACAATTTAATTACAACTGTGCATAATACATTTTTTTCTTCATCTTTACACTTTTTTTCAATTTCAGTAAATTCCATTTGTTGAATAAGCAGAATAACTAAAGATTAAAGACAGAAAGTCAGAATTTTATGTGAAACTATTACGTTGACATAATTATGGAACTTTCAAAATGTTAATATGTTTATAAAGCTTACCATCCAAAATCAAATCTTGCTCCCTTTCCTGTTAGCATATAATAAAAGGCTGCAAAACAAACAATATAGCATTATGAATGTGTTCACAAATACTGTATACTTTAACTAATGTTAGAATTATAATCTGAATTATCCAATGGTAAATAGTCAGCGGATAGTGATAAAAGATATGATTAAACTCCACGATATAATGTTAAAAGTGGATAACAGATATAACCTTAAATAATAATGGCTCTTTAATCTAGCACTAGAAAGTAGACATTTAAGTACCGAAAGTAGCAAAAGGTCAATAATAAAAATAAGGAAATGAAACTAATTAATGCTCAAATTGTAAACGACCATCAGCAGTTTAGAAATTACTTATCCAGATTGGTATGATTATTCAATACTTAATTACACGTTGCATTGATAAAGTTGTAAACACGATTGACATGTTGAACTGTCAAACCCAGGCCAGCTGTGATAATATCAATAAAGGCAACGATGACCTCTAATCTTTATAAAAAAAACTGTATTTGATAATGACGAATAAAGACAGTCCGAGTAGGAAAAAGAAAAAATGTTCACATAGACCGCATGCATTCCTGCGTCACCCAGCTCGGGACCATTTGTCAACAACTGGAGGCCCAAGGGCACTGCCATGTCAGCCATACTCTTACGATCTTTGGCAAATGGACGTGCGTGAACATTCAACTCACCTATCACAAGGATTGCCGAAAGAGCCAAGACATAAACAACCGCATACACGGGGTACAGAGAAACCCCCGAAAGTTTCGAGGAAGGCTTCGAAGGCTGGTAGTCTACGTCTGCCATCTTTGCTCATATGATTTACCAGGAAATCACGTTGTAGTCTCGTAAAGACCGATAACTCCGACAATTTAACCCAATTTACAATCAAAGTACTGGAAGTACTGAGAACACAAACGCCAGAAAATATTTTAACTGACTGATGCGAAAGTTCCATGAGCCTTAAACGTTACACAAAATAAAGAGTTTAAACATCGATCAAAACAGAAAAATGTAATAGTTACAAGGACAAAATTGTATTACTTGAAATTACGTCACCGAATTTTTAAAATATGCATAAAATATTCATTATGTAAGATACAGTGATGTAGTGACGTTGGTGATAAAAATTTGAACCAGTTGTTTTTCTCTAAATTTTATAAAATGTTTTGTCCACAATCAGTGAATGGCTTTGTGAAAAATGTGTTTCTGTACCAAGTTTCCTATATCAGGGAGATCGTGCAATAAGTGTACTTCCAAGGTCACATCACTTGTTTAGAATGTGGATACAAACCCAGACACTTGACCATGTGATATATACGTCTCTGACTTGACATAGCAAATGTTTAGGTTAACTGAGCCTTTTTCCATCATAAATATTGTCCGTTTTCTGTTCATTTTTCACAATTTTCCTCTTCTCAAGAATTATTACGGATATTTAAATATATGTATCTTCTCTGTTGGGAGACAAATACATCATAAGTGACTGATATGGTTGTAATGTCAAAAACCTTCAGAAAAACAGTCAAATTTGTGGTCTCCAGGAGTGGGGGATGTTTTGGCATGGACAAAATACTAATACACCAATAAAGTAAATCTTGTATAAAAACACATGTTTTAAAGTTTTTGGAAGTGGTGCAAAGGTTTTATCAACACTTGTCTCTAAAATCTTCAATTTTTGAATGGGCCACATCAAAGTTTCGGGAAATAATGTGAAAATCATTTTGATTTAGTTTCAAGGTCACTGGGTCAAAGGTCAGCGAGACTTAAAAGCAGTACATCTGCTAGTTATTTAGACAATTTGAAACATATTTTTCCATCACACAAAACGCCACATCCTAACCCACACCTTGTCCGACTCTAGAACATGCTGGTTATCTATATGCATTCCAATTTTAAGGGTTTTAGGAAATCCAATTACCAAGACATAAATACCTGTTGATGTTGGGATTTGAAATCTTTTCTTCTTGTTATTTATAAAAGATCACAGAAAGATAATGATTTTGCCACCATACAGTCACCAGTATTTAGTTGTAGCTATATATGACTGACTCCTTCATTATCTGCTATTACTGTAGTAATACCATTTCACTATCAATATATATCAATGATTCTCTGCCAATCATCCTGTCCTAAAATTACAAGGGATCAAATGTATACAGTTTCTAGGAAGATTCCTTCAGTACTTTTCTTTGGGTTGTGAGTAGAGGTACATTAATATCTATATGTAGTACATTTTAAGGGAAAAATAATAATAAAATGTTTTTGCAGGATGAAAATTAAATATTGAAATAATGTAACACATAGTTGTATTCAACCACTTAGTATTAATAATGTGTAAACGAAGTATGCAAGATACATGAATACCCATTAGAATAAAACAAGTAATTAAGATTTGAGGGGCGTTTGACCGTACTTTGTGGATTATTGATATGGGAACTTCATCACCGGGGTATATATTAAGAGAGAAATAATTCAACAAAACAAGCCTTTAATCCATTTAACTGACATTTAATCAACAATGTTTAAAATAACCTAAATTTAGTGTATACACTCTATCTTTGTGTAACTCCACTATGTATTACGTTTGATTCGTCCAGAGGACAATGGAATTCCTAAATTTATTGTGACAGGATGTGTACAATGTCAGTAAGTCAGCAGATGTCTCAGAAATTTATCGTGACAGGATGTGTACAATGTCAGTAAGTCAGCAGATGTCTCAGAAATTTATCGTGACAGGATGTGTACAATGCAGCAGACAGTAAGTCAGCAGACGTCTCAGAAATTTATCGTGACAGGATGTGTACAATGCAGCAGACCGTAAGTCAGCAGATGTCTCAGAAATTTATCGTGACAGGATGTGTACAATGCAGCAGACAGTAAGTCAGCAGATGTCTCAGAAATTTATTGTGACAGGATGTGTACAATGTCAGTAAGTCAGCAGATGTCTCAGAAATTTATCGTGACAGGATGTGTACAATGCAGCAGACAGTAAGTCAGCAGATGTCTCAGAAATTTATCGTGACAGGATGTGTACAATGCAGCAGACAGTAAGTCAGCAGATGTCTCAGAAATTTATCGTGACAGGATGTGTACAATGCAGCAGACAGGAAGTCAGCAGATGTCTCAGAAGTTTATCGTGACAGGATGTGTACAATGCAGCAGACAGGAAGTCAGCATGTCTCAGATTTATCGTGACAGGATGTGTACAATGCAGCAGACAGGAAGTCAGCAGATGTCTCAGAAATTTATCGTGACAGGATGTGTACAATGCAGCAGACAGGAAGTCAGCAGATGTCTCAGAAATTTATCGTGACAGGATGTGTACAATGCAGCAGACAGGAAGTCAGCAGATGTCTCAGAAATTTATCGTGACAGGATGTGTACAATGCAGCAGACAGGAAGTCATCAGATGTCTCAGAAATTTATCGTGACAGGATGTGTACAATGCAGCAGACAGTAAGTCAGCAGATGTCTCAGAAATTTATCGTGACAGGATGTGTACAATGCAGCAGACAGTAAGTCAGCAGATGTCTTAGAAATTTATCGTGACAGGATGTGTACAATGCAGCAGACAATAAGTCAGCAGATGTCTCAGAAATTGATGTTATCAATCTGTATAATACAAATCAAAGAACTGGTATATCTTAATCAAGAAAAATGTGGAAATAAATATTGATCTACAATTAATTTGTATATCAGAAAGGATGACAGCTTGTGTAAATAAATGAAATGCTAAGAAGATACATTTTTAAACCATTAAAATCTGCCGAATTTGTTTTACATATGTACAGAAGGATCATTACACTTAAATGATAACCACTATTGATAAGTGAATCGTACTGATTTCCATTCTGTTTATATGGCCATATTTTCTTGTTTTCAACATGTGATATTTACTTGTTTTATTTGTGGGGCTGTCCACCTTTTTTCTTTCATTTTAACTTGTGCCCAATCCACTCATCAGTTTTTGGCAAATACACCTTACATCAACCAAATACATATTAATTACGATAGATAACAGCTTATCTGCTTGTAATGGAATAATAACACGATCATTTAGTAAATATAAACTGGTACCAGATAGACATGTTTGTGACATCCTTCTTGTAGCATTTGAATTCTCTGAGAAAATTATCTAACCACAACATCAGTGATGTTAACTTGTATACATCAACAGAAAACAACGCTCATTCCTGCTCCTTTGTTAGAGCGAGACACAAGTCCAAGATCTCGATGACATTCCTACATAACACAAGACAACAGACAAGAGACATTAAAGACACTTTAATTATCCATCTGGCTTTTACAATAATGATTAACAATGTCAAATGGAATCATCAATTGTTGACAATGTAGTGTTTATATGGTTATAAACATTTTACATTGTGTCCAGTTTACAGGGACACAATCATAATATATCACAGTAGAAAATATAAACGCCAGAATTTTGTGATACACAATGATAAATGAAGATTCTAAGACTCTGAAAAGGTGTTTTTGTTGTTTTTTTTTTTCATTTGAAACAATTAAGACTAACAACAAAAAAGTTAAAAAGCAGTTTTTTTTTCAAATGGACTAACCAGATATGGAATTGGTACTCCATAAGGTCTGAAACGTTATGTCTTAATCAATGAGTGCTGCCTTGATTAATTGGCAGGACAAGAATGATACATAAAAGTTGGAGGAATCAAAAGCTTTCATTGCCCAGCAGATACATTCTGTATGCAGACCATTGGCGTTTTAGGTAAGAAATGTACCGCGTGAAATGTGTTTGTAGTGATTTTATTGAATTCATCAGACCAATAACAGATATAAAAATGTCTTTTATCAAATGTTTTAACTTTTTAATTTCTATGTTTGAATTTTGATCAAACACCTGGATAATGATTATGACACAAACTTTGACTTTGTAGAAAGAGCCAGGATTTTGCTTTACATGCTGACCAGCATATGTAATTTACATAGAAACCAATGGATCAAGCTCATATATAGGCCTCCAGTTATAACATGATATGTCCATAAGAAAACCAATTAAAGAACTAAGGTCCTATCACCACTTCTCAAAATTGGACCTTATATGTAAATCTTTTGTATTCAAAAGTCTTATATTTATCAAAATTGGACCTTATATGTTAATCTTTTGCATCCAAAAGCCTTATTTTTATCAAAATTGGACCTTATATGTTAATCTCTTGTATTCAAAAGTCTTATTTTTATCAAAATTGGACCTTATATGTTAATCTCTTGTATCCAAAAGTCTTATTTTTATCAAAATTGGACCTTATATGTTAATCTCTTGTATCCAAAAGTCTTATTATGATCAAGATTTGACAATGTTCACACAGGGATCTACCAATCTATCTTTACAGCTGTAGTACTGTCAGAGAAATTGACTAAAACACAAACAAAAATGGCTAATGCAAAAAAAGGAATCTTATATCTTATTGTTCATATTATTTTAAACTTCATACAAAAATTTAGGTAATTTTAAATCAATGACTATGAAAACCTGGACTGGTGTTCCCCAGACTCGAGTATACATCATGAGAGGCAAGACCAATACAAAACCAATAAAAATACTTATTATTTTCACATTCTGTCTTTTTCAAAAATGACCAATTTTCTGGTTGTTTTAGCAATGTCTGAAATAATGATTATACAATGGAAAGTTTAGAATATAATTATTTTTCCTGGTCAGATTTCCTTGTTGATAAATAGGACCACAAAAACAACAGAAGTTTTACAGAAACAACAAATAAGAGAACAGAAAGTTCAAGGATACCGTCAGTTTATAACAGAATATTATGTCTTTTGACAACTTTTAACAACAATATGAATTCAAGAAAACAATGTTTATTCTTATATTGTTAAATCTGAATAAGATTTGAAATTTCCAATTGAAGGTACCACTACTATCATTATATGTATTATTCGAAAATGACTTAGTCTGTAGAGGTTCCTATATGATATTCAAATGAAACAGTAAGTAATAGTCAACTCACAATGTTATCAATGCGTTTGTTTCCTTTGGCTTCACATTATATATAAATTATCATACAAAACAGAATCATAATACTGACATAAACAATTACAATAAAACACATCTCACATTAAAGTTCCCTTTCATTAGGACCTAAACCTTCATGAAACTACAATTGTAATAAAAAGCTGAAAGAATCCAATGAGGTTTGAAACAGAAACATTGCATCCTTTTCTAGTTCTAGAGATGAAAAGCATGTAACCAACAAACCAACCCAACCAACTAAGAATTTTCCTATGATGTTCAACATTCATTTCTCAATACACCAAGCATATTCCCTGACTTGAGGGATATCAGTCATCTGTCTTACTACTGAATATATACTTGGCTATTATACCCAATGAGAACCTTTAAAATCCCTGATGTACATCTTGGTTAACTTAAGGTTACACTCTGCCTACTCTTATTATGATGGGTTCCAGCAGGTTGTAACCTTTGGCTACCAAACATGCTGATAAAATGCATACAATCATGTATGGTGATTTTCATTTGTTACACATGTATATGTTGTATGAATAATGACACACACATACATAAATGAAACGTTTGTTACACATGTTCTAATTTTAACACAGTTATATATCCATGCATTTAAGACAGATGTTGTTTCTTTCAAATTCACACAAGCACCCAGCATATTCTACATATGTAACCTTACATGATGCTAACCAATTTCAAGTTTTAGAAAATGTGATGATACAAGTTATCTACAGTACATAATGTAGAAATTGTTTTGTGGATCCTTCTGGTTAAATGTAAAGTAGCTTAATAAGACGACAATATCGAAAATGAAATCAATAAATATTTAAATTTAGAAACTGTTTACACAGCTTCAATTATATAATTCTTCCCCGATATTATTACACCTACTATGTACAACACTAGATATTACAAGTTTGTCGTGAATACTTAAACAACACACACTATAGCGACACTGAGGCCACCATATACCAACAACTATTGGGTATATCTCTGTACACACTAAATATGAACACAAATCACCTTCAACTTGTAATTTATGTGTTCATCATTTCACTTTGAACAGTCAACAGGTGCTTCAATCAATGACTTTGCCACCATGAAAAAAATCTACTATTCTAACAAATGAGATCAAACTTTGTTATTTCTGAGAAAACTGAGAAAAAATAGTGTTGAATTTATTTAAACACCTATCATATACTTATAAGTATGATATACATTTGTGCCAGCCAGCATACAAACTTATAAATTGTACCAACATCACATTCTCAGATATATTTATATATCCAGCACACCCTGTAATATCCTGTCACTCCAAATTGTACCAACATCACATTCTCAGATATATTTATATATCCAGCACACCCTGTAATATCCTGTCACTCCAAATTGTACCAACATCACATTCTCAGATATATTTATATATCCAGCACACACACTGTAATATCCTGTCACTCCAAATTGTACCAACATCACATTCTCAGATATATTTATATATCCAGCACACACACTGTAATATCCTACCACTCCAAATTGTACCAACATCACATTCTCAGATATATTTATATATCCAGCACACACACTGTAATATCCTACCACTCCAAATTGTACCAACATCACATTCTCAGATATATTTATATATCCAGCACACTGTAATATCCTACCACTCCAAATTGTACCAACATCACATTCTCAGATATATTTATATATCCAGCACACACACTGTAATATCCTGTCACTCCAAATTGTACCAACATCACATTCTCAGATATATTTATATATCCAGCACACCCTGTAATATCCTACCACTCCAAATTGTACCAACATTACATTCTCAGATATATTTATATATCCAGCACACTGTAATATCCTACCACTCACATTCCAGATATATTTATATATTGTAATATCCTGTCAACATTGTACCAACATCACATTCTCAGATATATTTATATATCCAGCATACCCTATAATATCCTACCACTCCAAATTGTACCAACATCACATTCTCAGATATATTTATATATCCAGCACACCCTGTAATATCCTACCACTCCAAATTGTACCAACACATTCTCAGATATATTTATATATCCAGCCACTGTAATATCCTACACAAATTTTACCAACATCACATTCTCAGATATATTTATATATCCAGCACACACCCTGTAATATCCTACCACTCCAAATTGTACCAACATCACATTCTCAGATATATTTATATATCCAGCACACACCCTATAATATCCTACCACTCCAAATTGTACCAACATCACATTCTCAGATATATTTATATATCCAGCACACACACTGTAATATCCTGTCACTCAAAATTGTACCAACATCACATTCTCAGATATATTTATATATCCAGCACACCCTGTAATATCCTACCACTTCAAATTGTACCAACATTACATTCTCAGATATATTTATATATCCAGCACACTGTAATATCCTACCACTCCAAATTGTACCAACATCACATTCTCAGATATATTTATATATCCAGCACACACCCTGTAATATCCTACCACTTCAAATCGTACCAACATCACATTCTCAGATATATTTATATATCCAGCACACACCCTATAATATCCTACCACTCCAAATTGTACCAACATCACATTCTCAGATATATTTATATATCCAGCACACACACTGTAATATCCTGTCACCCCAAATTTTACCAACATCACATTCTCAGATATATTTATATATCCAGCACACACCCTGTAATATCCTACCACTCCAAATCGTACCAACATCACATTCTCAGATATATTTATATATCCAGCACACTGTAATATCCTATCACTCCAAATTTTACACAGGATACCAGTACACAAGTTAATTACTATAACTAAATACATATTCCCATAAATAACATGACCTTCAACATGTTTGAAGAACAAACATGTAATTAACATGAAAATATGAATTTCTCATACAAGGCATTTGTTGTTCATTTTCATAACAAATAATGAATGTCCCTGTTGTTTAAATTTTTTTCAGATAACCGATAAGATTCTACAGAAAGAAATTAGTGTCAGCATGATCATCGAGTTTCATGTAGTTGATTATTGTTAAATACTGTCATGCCATGATTGATGATCAATTTACAAACCATCCTTTCATTCCTTGGCTTTTTTCTCTCAATTATCCTATGGCAGTGGATAATGAAAATATTGAGTTTGTTCATGGATTTATAATACAACATTCAGAGGTGCTCTCTATTATACATACCATTCAATATATTTTATTTATGAAAAATTTATACATATGAATATTCAGATATATATATATATTTCTACAGCTTTATTTAAGCAATGGCAAATATATCAGTAAGAGTGAGATAAGCCTGAATACCAATATTTTTTTAATGATAACATTGTGATGAAAAAAGCAACAAAAAATTTACATTTTTTAATTTAACAAAATATCATTCTTATACACCATTGGTCATTGAGATCACATACACACACACTTTTGGAATAAATTATCTATTCTAGTCCTAAGGCCCAGTTTATACCCTGAACCACCATTATAATGATTGGTTGCCAGGCAACAAGGTAACGGATCCAGTCTAGAAGGTTGCCATACATCATATGTGGACGGTCCCATCTAATGATGAGGTCAAGGTCAAAATGTTTTATCACATGTCACCATATTAATTCTCATAAAAATCTCAAAAACATTATTTTTTCATTATTAGAGAAGACTTACTTTGAAATTTAATGTATTTATGGAGGTTTTTTTTCTTATTTTTACCCTCAAGATTTTTTCTTTTCTGTGTCCTTTTTTGGTTAGGTTTGTCCGACCTGTAATATTTTAGGTATCACAATATCACATGTGCATTTTAATAAAAAAGGATACGGACTTGGAAACATCCTCTTTAGGTCGACCTTTTCTTTGCAGTAAGGACACGTCTGTTTTTTACCTACAATACACCAGCCTCTCAAACAAAACTCGTGAAATCTAAGCAACAGTCAAGGAAATTGAAATTGTACTATACAATTGTGCTTTGAGTTGTGTTACAAATATTATTCTTAATGTAAACATACAGCATATTATCATTCTCATATTGATCTTTATCATGCAGTACACCAGATGTAGCAGTTCTTACAAAAAGGTCCCAGTATATTGTACTATAGTAGAGAAAAATATTAGAAATGATTACCACCTGTAACATACCTACCTGGTATATAACAACTTCACCAAATGATGATCTTCTGAAAAGTTTACATTGAAATAATACATGGAATAACATGAATCCATTATCAATCATGTTAGGGTCAAGTGTGGTGAAGGAAATTCCTGTGTGTATGTTGTGACTATAACAACAAAAGGCACAAAGGATACATATGGTTACATCCTAGTTTACAAGTTTCTTCAATAATGGCATCTTCATTATTTAGCACCATTATAGGATTTCCACAAACTCCACAAACATTTGGGTCCAATCTCTTTCCTGGCAGCCCTGTAACTGAGTAATACTGAAACAAGACACACAGGAAATGAATAATTTATTGATCAACATGTATATAATCTATAAATGAGAGAGAGGCAAAATATAACAATTACAAGTTCATAAATTGTCAAAGGGCAATAACTCTGTATAACGTTGAGCACAAGACCTATTACTCTGTTACCCCGAGAATGAAAATGTAGATTCCAGAAACAGTGGCAGAAAATAAAGGGCAGTAACCCTTTAAGACACACCTACACAAGTCTCTTCCTCCAGAAACAATGGTGTGCTGCTTTTTTCTACACATGCCAATTGAACTTCGGGAGAGCCGGTCATATGACTTGTAAACAAGCAAGATAGCAACTTATCAGTTACCCTATGCAATGTTTAAGTTCTTGGTCAGTGACAGCCAGGACGAGATGTACAACAAGTAACAAACAGTTTCTAAGCCCATCATTGATCACATGCGCTTCCTGACTTAGTTTACCTGGGATCAACAAACATGTAAAATTTCAATCCTGAAACTTTCCACTTTTGGAAATTTGATAGACTTTTGTATCATTTTAATCTATTGATAATAACAAACTGAACATTTTTAAGTAATTATAAAGCAAGCCACTATTAGTACAACTTTTATTAATTTTCTTTTCATTTATTTTAAAATTTATTTACTTGCTTCAAATTTAATCCAGATATTGTTTATCTGGCAAAGTTAACTTCAAAAACCCTTCCAGGCCGCAATCTTGTATTGATTGGCCCCCTCATTTTTTTGTCTGCACGATTGGTATATCCTGGTCAAGCCAACAGGAGAGCAGGATGGCCAATCAAGGGCTGTGTCCATAAGAAATGGCTGTATCGGCTAAACAGGGAAAGCCAAACAAGTAAAACCATTGTTACATGCCTCTATGATGAGCACATTATTCGACATATTTGCCAAAATTTCAGATTAGTAATTGACAACATATGTAATGCAATTTGTCAAATGCACATAAAATGAAAAGATTTTTAAATTGTGCCTCTTTAAACTAATAAGATAAAATATGGCACAAAAGGCTTACCCCTATATGTGCAGCCATGGTGTCTGAACAGACCTCTGCAAAATCACGTGACACAACACCAAAGTACAGTCCATAAAATAGTAGTAAGAGTCCAAAGTCCATGGAAACATTGGGTTTGATGAGAAGTAAAAGGTTGAGTCCTAACAAAGTCAGCATGATGATCATATAACCAGTCACTCCAGCAAAATAACTCACTTTATGGATCATGATAAACCATTTGTATACTAGTCTGAAAAAAACAATAAGTCTGAATTACGACATCTGAATTAATTACAATGACACATTAGTCCAAAATATAATCAGTAGTTTTATATTAATAAAGAATAAACAGCAGATGTAATACATACTACTGAGTATTGCAAAACTTCCACCTGGTAGATAAAGTTAGAAAAAAAAATGATAACGAGATTTGATCTAATGTGTTTTACTACCCTTTAATATTGATATTGTCATGTACTACAATAAAGATTTCTTGAACCAATGTTTTGTTAGTTTTAAGTGTAGAATTCTCATCCTTGCCCTAATTACTTGCTGTCATGTTCACATCAACAATACAGCTGTAGTTTCGGAAAACAAGAAGTTTAAAAGACTTGACGGTAAGCAATATTGAACATAAAGTTTAAAGGGTAAGTTGTTTTCAAGTGTCATGAAAAAGAAATTGTGACATTGATTCATAGTAAGCCAGCATCAACACATGCATAATATCATCCTATAGTTATTTCCAATGGGAAATGAACAACATTATGCTCAAAAATTAATTTTCTATGGAAATCATAGTAAAGTTAACCTCCTTCCCAAGAAGAAATGCGAGACCTATTTTAGTAAAGCACCTTTAGATGCTTCCATCTATGAAAAACATTTGCTTCTACCATACCTGGGTGTTGAGAAGAAGATTTTTGAAATCTGAGACAATTTGACTCCTATGGCCCCACCAATCAGCCTTTAGGGGTCAGTCAAGATCAATTTGGGCATACCATCAAGCTGTCATCCTTCACTCATAATTCTAACCAAGTTTAAAATATTTTCAAAGGAAATTAAACAAATTATGATCGTAGATCTATTTTTCCTATATAAACTATAGTAAACTTTACCCCCTCCCCACGGGGATATGTGAGACCCTGGGGCCATGAAATTCTCAAATTTTGTAGAGCACCTTAAGATGCTTCCATCCATGAAAATCATTTGATTCTATCATATCAGATTGATGAGATGAAAAGTTTTCAAATCTTAGTCAATTTGACCCTTTTGGCCCTGCCTCTCAGGCCCCTGGGGGAAGAGCCAACACTGGCTACTGGGGGTAGAGCCAACACCAGCTCCTGGGGGTAGAGCAAACACCAGCTCCTGGGGGTAAAGCCAACACCAGCTCCTGGGGGAAGAGCAAACACCAGCTACTGGGGGTAAAACAAACACCAGCTACTGGGGGTAGAGTCAACACCTGCTACTGGGGGTAGAGCAAACACCAGCTCGTGGGGGTAAAGCCAATATCAGCTACTTGGGGGTAGAGCCAACACCAGCTTTTGAGGGCAGAGCCAACACCAGCTCCTGGGAGTAGAGCAAACACCAGCTCCTGGGGGAAGAGCCAACACCAGCTCCTCGGAGTAGAGCCAGCACCGGCTACTGGGGGTAGAGTAAACACCAGCTCCTGGGGGTAGAGCCAACACCGGCTACTGGGGGTAGAGCAAACACCGGCTCCTGGGGGTAGAGTCAACACCTGCTACTGGGGGTAGAGCAAACACCAGCTCGTGGGGGTAAAGCCAATATCAGCTACTTGGGGGTAGAGCCAACACCAGCTTTTGAGGGCAGAGCCAACACCAGCTCCTGGGAGTAGAGCAAACACCAGCTCCTGGGGAAGAGCAAACACCAGCTCCTGGGGGAAGAGCCAACACCAGCTCCTGGGAGTAGAGCCAACACCTGCTACTGGGGGTAGAGCAAACACCAGCTCCTGGGGGTAGAGCCAACACTGGCTACTGGGGGTAGAGCAAACACCAGCTCCTGGGGGTAGAGCCAACACCAGCTTTTGAGGGCAGAGCCAACAGCAGCTCCTTGGGGTAGAGCAAACACCAGCTACTGGGGGCAGAGTAAACACCAATTCCTGGGGGTAGAGCAAACACCAGCTCCTGGGGGTAAAGCAAACACCAGCTCCTACCAGCTACTGGGGAGAGAGCCGACACCAGCTTCTGGGGTTAGATCCAACACTATTCTATTTTGTTGATGGATCAGATGGGTGCATTATTCCATTATTCCATGCTTTGATATCTCCGGGAATGCAGGGCAAGTGAGTAATACATAGAACACAAGAATTGCTCCAAATTATGCTGCAGTTCTATCAACTTTTTATATTGATATATAGAGTCAATTAAACTATTCACTTATTTAACAAAGAATTTCAAAAATAACTAATAATTTCTAAAATAATTTCCCAATAATTCACCAATATTTATGCAGACTTGGTTCCCCTCTCCCTAATCCGGTCAAATTCTGTTCGGTCGCTCTTGACTATTTGCAATTTTTAGTAAAAATGGACACAGGGTGCTGCACCATGCCTTAGCTCACGTGTCATTTAGACCAGGTGAGCTAAAAATTTGAAAAAATGTCAGAACAATTTGGACTACACATGCATATATATACTAGTCCTGAAGTCAAGTGACCAAGATAAGGATACTTTATAGCATTGCTACAGAAGATATCTGTGTTTTGGTTTGGTACATTACCTTGGAGTATTGCCCGGAAGAGGTTTCCTAGTAGCTCTAAATGTTACATATCCTGTTATCAAGGAGAATATACTCCATATAATGATAAATCGTAACCAGCTAAATTTTATACAGAATATAATTGGTATGGTCCACATCCCTATGAGAGTTGCTCTCTGTAAATAAAAAGAAATGGTGTTATGAATAAATGTTATATACAAGTATAATCAAGCTGCTCCTAATTATAATGGTATAAAAGACTGTATTCCACAAGTATTCATTAGTCTGTAGTTTTACTTATCTAAAATAATGTGACTTTTGCCAAAAAGTCATTAATAAAATTCAATTCCTTTTTGCTTTTGTTAAGCATTCATATGAAAAATTTGTGCTATTTCAACAATGGCCCAAGGGTACATTACTGAGAAATAGCATTTAAACCAAAATATAACTAATTGATGTTAATCCTATATTCTAACCCTAAATTGATCCTTCATGATCACAAGAAATATTTCATTAATAACATTATATAGGCTTTTTTTAATCGACAAATCAAATCGAGTTAAGAATATCATCAATGTTTACATGTAAAAAGCTATTCACAAACCCTTCGACACCTCTAACCATGCAAGAAAACACGATCCTATTACAATTATTAAACAGTTCAATAATCTAATATGCTTTTATGGGTCAATACAAATAAACAATTAAGAATTTGCTGATTAATAATAATATAACAAATTCCATCATTTTTATAAAGGTACAAGTGCAGAAAAACTGTTCACACAAAAACCAAATCTATACATAACACTGTATGTAATTCTTACCTCATAGGATCGAAAGTGGCGTTGTTTCCACTGCACCAGTAGTATCTGAGCTACCACCAATGTAGCAATGAGGATAAGCACCATCTCTGCGTGCATGGCCTCATGGCCCTTGTGTTTTTCATGTAATCGCTGGTGTTCTATCCTAAATAATCATAAGAGGTAAAATTTCATGTAATCTCGGTCATTTCAGCTATCATTAAATAGTGATATGTGAAGTGTGTAATTGACTCTTTGTACAGAATACAAAGCAATCAGAAACAAAGGAATAGAATTAAAGGTTTTTTTTTATATTCATTGATCAATTACTGCAAAGAAAATGAAAGTTCAGTAGCAACATAAAATATTTCCTTGGCAATAAATGAAAATCCAGCTTTATCCTAAAAAGTATCCTTACCTCCATCGCTCCTTTTCTGACAGTTTAGATAAGTCTATATTCTGTTAAAAAACAAACAAGAACTGTGAATGCTATGTTAATGATAGTCAAAACATTGCAATAGAATATGCTTCATCTATTTCAGTGTCGAAATAATAAAACAAAACATGATAAATTAAGAGAACCAAATGATAAATAACATTATTATGATTTTTCAAGTACTAAATTATAATTCAAATACCCAATATGAATGAAACATGCAGTATATCACAAGTCATTCAGTACATTTGCCAAATCAAAGTTTATTCCTCAAAACAATAATTCATTGAATGCAACCTTAACTATCTGCAGCCAAGTCAAAGCAATGTTCCTCTCAACAAAGCATGGATTGGTAGAAAAAAAAATAGAAAACATGATATACATTATATATGTTGTGATAATAAAAAATTCTCTTTTCGGTTAATGGTATTAACGTAACCTGCAAAAAATAGAATGAGTTTAAATAAATACATGAAGAAAAACTCCCATTACATTCACCCACTAACACTAAAAGGAAGCATGCAAGGAGCCCCAACTACTACCTTCATGCCAAAACCAAGCAGATGATATATGACACAAAAACAATTACTGTACAATTTCATATGATAAATGAAAATTTCCAAAAACAGCATGAGACAGAAGTTTTACCAGATATAATGAATAACATTTATAAAAAGAAAATCGACTTTATTTGGTAAAAAACACAGATCAACCAGAGTTCCAGTTATAAGAAAGATACTTTAGCTTGTGTTTATAAATCATTGCATGTAGTTGGAAGCTATAACACTTCTCAAGTAAATATCTTATATATATAGAATTGATAAAAAGTTCAGAATGCAAATCTCTCACTAATACCACATAATTTGAACCTACAAATTTAAAAGAAAAAGACTTAATTTCATTTTAATCCCAAGGTATTTTCCCATTATCAGAAAAAACACAGTAATCTTTTTCCTGACTAGTTCTACATTTTAGAATCTGTTGTGAATTCTTTTGAGAAAACTCATTGGCGAGAAAACATTCTTTCTTGGAAGATTTTTTTTATACCAATAAATTTTCCTTGCAGATGACATTATTCAATTCTTTCCCCCTTTTTGACTGATATTTCCAAAATACGAAATATACTAGGATCATTCCTGTCCATATGTGATAATCAATCCTTCATTACTGGTCTGAAGAAAATACACAATAAAATTGACTCTCTTTTGATAAGCACACAAACACACCTAAAATATATGTGCACGAATATGATACATACTGAAGACTACAGCATTATTTCAAGTAAGTAATATAAAGAGAAGCATTCCAACTACTGGTTCCAAACCCTTTCTTAATGAAAGCAACAAAATCCTAAAAACCAGTAGGAAAATTTTACCTCTAGATCAGCAAAGTAGTAATGCTCCTTTGAGTACCTAGGGAATTTAGTCCTAACTTGCATGCTTCCTCCGATATAAACAAATGTGCAAATTTTTTGACAAATTAGTTTTTGTGACTGAGCAGGATCCTCGTTTCACAAAGTGCACATCTAGTCACAATAAAGAAAAAAAAATAATGAAATAAAAAAATTGGATGTGGAAAAAAAAGTGTGGATGCTAGGCAACAAAATTTTCAACAAAATGTGGAATGCTAATATTTTCATGATTCTTTTATTTCTATTTTTAATCAATAATTCTAACTCATGGATGTACCATGGTTAAGCCGTAGCAGTAAAGAAAATCAATCAAAAATTGAAGTCCTTGCTGCAGTAACTGACTTATTATACTGAACTGATTAATGAAAGCAACTTTATGATTCTCCCACAGTCACTTAGCTTACTGATAAAAAAAATCACATAAAAAGTATGCATCTCTCATATATGTATTTACATTTGTACATACGGTTTTTACATCAGCAAGGTAAGTGCCTGTGACTCGCCTACTAGTTTCGGTTTTTGCACAAGGACACGTACTCTTAAGCGTACAGGAGGCATAAGTCCGCCTGATTGAATTGGCGGGTATCACACGACGCCTGTCAAAAGATTCTCGCCACGTTGAACCTCTACCTTTGTTGGAGAAGGGACATGTATCATTTTACGATAAAACGATTACCAAACAAAACTATAGTTTCATGTTCTCGTGATTTGTGGGCTGAAATGAAAGATGTTGCAAATCTAACGATATTGAACGGATGCATGTGCATGTACTCATTAGACAAAATGCAACATCCGGTCAATATTCTTCAACCGCTGACCGGTTGGAGTGGTTGCCATCGTCCGCTAGCAGCATCATCAACCAATCTGACAGATCATAGTCCGTGCTCCTGCTCATCCATTTTTGTTACTATTCGACCTCAAAATTCTTAAACAATTAGTTACGTATATATTGTAATCTAATCACATGATAAACAGTGTCTTAAAACATTGTTTTTCATTTTCAGTGCCATAAAAACATTACCGATAGGTTTGTAACGTGGCCGGCATGATGGATGGACGCCATGTTGGAAATGTCATTACTGCGAGGACATCTATGGACTGTGTGCTAAAGTTACAGGAACGATAACTAGGGTTTATAAAGAAAGTTTCGGGTGGAAATAAACAAATAGAAGGCATACATAAGATGAAATGCATCGCCTAATGCAGAAATACAATTTGAATACATAGGAGATTACAATCAGTTACAACTATCATCAATTCAATGTACAAAGAATCAATTTGAACAAGTGGTGTGTCGGATAAGGAGGACCATAGCACAACAATCTAATTTACTGGCAAATATAGTTAAGGCTTTTCTGGGTAAAGCCCTATTGTTATTGTTCAGTTTCTTATTAGGTCTTTTCTGTAAAAGACGTATTGTTATTGTTCAGTTTCTCACCCAAAGGTGAAAAGACCTATTGTTATTGTTCAGTTTCTCACCCAAAGGTGAAAAGCCCTATTGTTATTGTTAAGTTTCTTATTCTTCTTATTCTTCTTTTATTCTTCCGTATTTTGTGGAGTCTCTGTCTTTAGATGAGTGAAAGAAAGGTTGATGGTTTTGTTAGTATGTTTATAAATAAGGTCTGAAGGTGTTACAGGAACATTTTCAAATAGGTCAAATATCCAATATGGCCGCCATGACGTCATAAGTTAAAAACAGAAAAATGGCAATATCCCGAAAACCATTGATTGTACAGAGTTTGTGCAATAATATTATATGTAGAGAATTGCCATATTCAACTTTTTCTCATGCCATATTAATTAAAAAATCAAATAAAAAAAACTCGTTGTGGGGTAAAATTTTCAAATTTTAACAATTTTTTTCTTTTTTTTTTTTTTTACAATTTTGAATTTTCTTGAAATTTTCATCTTCAGATCGATGCAGAACGTCCTTCCGATAAATTTAGAGTTTTCAGTTCATCTGAAACGTTTACCATTTCCGCTGTACGCCATTTTGAAAATTTTCTGTGATCTTTTAAAAATGCCGACAAATAGGAAAAACTTGTTCTAGATCAATATTGATGGGCTATATTTTATCAAATTGTTACTGAGAAGATTTTCCAAGATGTCTTCTACAATTGAGTGACATTTACAAATTCATCAGAAAAACAAAATGGCCGTCAGAACGTCATTTCCGATTTTACCTAAAATGCCGTAACTCAAGAACTATTTAAGCTAGTGACCTCAGTTTTAATCATATTATGTAAATTAAAAAGAAAACAATTTCCACAAGAAAAAAACTGGAATCAAAGGTCAACTTCCAGTTTTCGGTAGGGGTCAAATTTCAAAAGTGTTATTTTCAGTTACAAACTTTGACAAACTTCTTCTCAAGTTCTGCAAAGTCTTGATATTTCACGTGTAAGATGTCTGTTTAATTATCTATCAAGTTTGTTAATATAAATGACATTGACCCGCTTTCAAGGTCACAGGGGTCAATTATGTAAGAATCGTTAAATGGTAATTTCTCCATTGTTATGCTGCCAAAAGTCTTCAACTTTCGACATAAATATTCTGTGGACATTTCCTGTCGATTGATATAAGAGAAACGTACCTCAAAATTCAACTTACGGTTTGCGGTAGGGGGTCAAAGTTGAAAAGTGCTATTAAGGGTACCAATCTTTGAAAAACTTCTCCTCAAGTTCTGAAAGGCCTAGAGGCTCTATATTTCACCTATATGAAGCATATGTAACTTGGCAACAAAGTTTGATAATAAAAATGACCTTGACCCACTTTCAAGGTCACAGAGGTCAATTAACTAAGAATCGTTAAATGAGAGTTTCTCACTTTCTAGATGGCACAAAATGATGAAAATAGATTATAAACCTTCTGTGGACACTTCCTATTGATTGTCTTAAGAAAAACTTCCCTAAAAGTTCAACTTCCGGTTTTTGGTAGGGCACAAATTTGGAAAGAGCTAATTAGGTTACCAAACTTTGAAAAACTTCTTCTCAAGTTCTGGAAGGCCTAGATGCTTGATATTTCACATATAAGAAGCATATGTAACTGGCAACAAAGTTGATAATATAAATGACCTTGACCCACTTTCAAGGTCACAAATGTCAATTAACTAAAAATCGTTAAATGACAGTTTCTCAATTTCTAGAAGGCACACAATGATGAAAATTAATGATAACTTCCTAGTGATTATTATAAGAAAAAATCCCTCAAAATGTCAACTTCCGGTTTTTGGTAGGGAACAAATATACACAATAGGGTACCAGTGTTCAACAATCTTCTTGTCAAGTTTCACAAGGTCTAGAGTACTAATATTGGAGATATATTGATCATCTGATGTTACATTATAAGGCTTGCAAATATGAATAACCTTGACCTACATTCAAGGTCACAGGGGTCAAATATGTTTGAACCTTTAAAAAGTGTATTTCTTCGTTATTATGTAGTTATATCTCCTTGACGTTTCAAGATACGAAGTTCATCTTTGGATATGTCGTAGAGACTAATAAACAAGGAATCCTTCTCATATATTGTTATAAGGATAAATGTCAACTTCCGGTCAACTTGTCGCCAAAGAAGTGAAAAGCCCGCAAAATTGTTAACAACAGTTTCTAGTTGTAATTGTGACCCCCCGAGAAAGAGTTATGTAGGGGATGTGATATTCACAGAATATTATACTAGTAGCCAATTAATCACGAGAAAATAAATAAACAAAACAGTTCTCTCGTATTATAGAAAATAGAATTAAAACGCGAATCGCATTTTGTAATTCTACCAAGTGTCGTCAAAATAATTTGGACGAATGCGTAAGATTGACTACTAGTTATTAAAGACCTATAGGTAGTGGAGTCCTACAAGGAGTGTCCACAGACCCGTGGTACATTAACAGGGATGTCCAAAGATAAAAACAAACAAATTACAAAAACAGAGAAATCACAGCCTTCAGACATTCACAAACCGATAGTTGTTGTTAGTGGAAATAATAAATATGTTTAAACTTCACAGCCTAATTTAAGCTATACTTACTGTGATATTGTAAAATTCCCCGTCTCCTTCTTACATAGGGAGGGTCGGACAGTGTGAAATAATGTTTAAAATATAAAAAAAAAAAAAAACAAATTCAAGAAATCAATAAATATTTGCATATGACGGTTTATATTCAATACATACAAGTATATTCATAACAGTTCATACCCACATAGACTAGTGGAATATGTAAAAGTCTTCCACGCCTGCTAAATTACGACTCCAGGACGTAAGGTTTATTAGAAGAACATTTATCATATTATGATCGCTGCTACTACAAATGAAACTCAAAAGTTAACTAATATTAGTTTTCCGCCAGAACAACCCCCGGAAACAAGCTATCATATACACCGATTCTTTGCGAGATTGTGTGAAGATATATGCACATAGATTGTAAAACCTGTACATTAGATCAAAGGTCATATATTTCGGAACACAGTTAATGGCGCCTTGCATTATCTCATATCGTATGGTTATTTTTAAGGTTGTTTTAAATATTGATGGCATGTTGACGATGCCTGCCTGGTAACCCTGTCAACGTGGTTACGGATGTGTTATGGAATCTGTGGGTAGGATGAATAGGAATTCGAAGAAAAAAATATTTACAAAAAATGTCATTGTTATAATCCTTTATACGCCGCGTCATTTACCAGAATATTGTTTTATTTTCAAAACTTACTGAAAAAGTTTTGAGTTACATCATTTGTGGTTATTTTGAAGTTTGTCCGAATAATCCCTCTTGACACCAAGTTGTAAAGGCGACCATACTAGCTGTATTAGACACGGTGATGTACCGTGTGAATGTCACCTTCCCTCCCTGATCTTCCTATTTACTCCAAGAACCGATAGAGAATTTCCCAATCAGCATTGAACCCTAAAATTTCAACAACTATACTGAAGAAATTTGATTTAAAGGACCACTGTAGCCTTAAAATGATTCACGTGTTATTTAGCGCCTTCCGTAGCATGTTATTTACCAAATATTCAAACTTTTTCATCTAAAACTACTAGATGTATTGCATGATGGATAGGTAGCACTCCAAGGACGCTAAAGTATCTAGAGTTGATGCCTTTCAAAAACCAAGAATTCTCATTGGTCGATCCAGACTCATTTTCAAGCATATTGATTACCAGAGATCTAAGCATATAAACTAATCAACATGCCATCCTGCCTTGCACTTTTATTTAAATCTTGTTGAAATTATTAAAACGTATGACATCTGTCAGTTTGGATTTCGTCGGGGTCGATGACTTTATGAAGGAGGGAGCAATGTAAAAGTTCAGAGTACAGATCGCCTTACTAAATAGCCTTGGCATTAGGAATTTCCTGTAGGCAATAGATAGAGTGCCAGTTTGGCTAGAGACCGAAAGATCCCAGATCACACCTTTAGGGATCAGGCCATTTTCATCACTGTTGGCTAATTAGTCACTGGAATTTCATATCGTATAAAGAAATACAATAGGGTTGGTGTTCAATTCAAACTTCTCTAAACTGGAGATTGTAATAATGAAAAAAATAAAGAAATAAGTAAAAAACAGAACATATAGTCAATTCAGAATGTCGACATGAAAGAGCGTTTTATAACTTCGGGAAGCAAGTGTATTACTATCTGGAAATGATAAAGCGTGTTCTACAGAACTTGGAATGATCACGTTTATCCTGGATCATGTCTAGATCTGTCCTTGTTGGTTGTGTTGTAGCATGTAACGAAAATTGAATTTTAAAAAAACACGATCCTGTAGATAGTGATGCCAAGACCCTTACTGATGATGCACATTGTACTTGTACAAATTAATTTTACAGGTAAAATGAACACGGGCAATGTCCATGCCTCTGACACTCATCCATGTCTGCCATTGACACAGAGATATCGAGAAACGGGGACAGTGGACAAGAGCATCCTGGACACAAATGTTAGAATTTCAATCAACTAGTCAAATGGAGTGTCCCGATTTAAAAAAATACTGACATGTGAGAACTCTGGTACACAATTTACGTCTTGTTTCAATTTCATGAGAGCTACTACAAATGTATGTAGAACACTACGAATTAATGGATTGTTTTCAAGGACGTTTTATATCATCCTATTAACAAGGACGCTTTCTGTCATCCTGTTCATAAGGACGCTTTCTATCATCCTGTTCACAAGGACGCTTTCTATCATCCAGTTCCCTTGCTGCAATCAGCAGTTTTTTAATGTTCATTCTTTAGGACTATAAATGTCAGTAAAACAAATCTGTAAATATTTTGTAACAGTTCGATGCCATGTTTTGAAAGGGCATATGTAATACTAGTATGGTGTTCATGGAAGTACCTGTCAGTACCAAGATGGAGGATGGAGTCCGCGTCTGTCAATCGTCGAGTGAAACTGACTGAATGCCTCTTTATGTCAAAAGCCAACAAGAAAATACCAATATGTCAACATAGTCAAAATCCAAACTCAGATTCAGTAGATATTGGGCAAAATGTGAACAAAATGTTTAAACGGAGACTCCTGCAAAGGTACAAGCAGAATAAGACCAGTAGTTCCGGAAAAGTAAGAGTCATCTACTTTATCATCGATACTTGTCAATGAAAAAAAAAAAGAAAAAAAATCATAGAATCGAATATTGTACACAAAAAGTGTTTATAATTACAACACCACGACTCTTTATTTTTGATATTCCAACATATAATTTGTCAAGTCATATACAAGAATCGTTAACGTAACATCTGAGTTCAAGTAGCATTGTTTAAATCCTACAGTGCTAAGAATGTGCCAACATCGACAAAATCAGCTGATCAATTTCTGTATGAGATGTTATATAAGTAAGTGGCTTGTATGAATTCTTTCTTTAAGCCTCACTGAATATCCCTAGTCAAACATGCTTATAATTCACCTCAACGACCAGTTCATGTTAAAATGGGAAGGATACCGTAGAGGTAATTGGACTTTCTAGTTTTGGTTTTACTTACTGGCATAACCATAAATAACCTGCAGTGTTGGCAAAGGATGTGTTGTTTTGTGCAACATTGAAATAATGGTCAAATTAATATTCCTATTTAAAAAACTTGACGGTTCCAGAGAAAATTGGCAATTTTACTACTTTGAAATCTCGCTGACCTTTTACCCTATGACGTTGAAAATGAGTCCAAAAACAGTTTTTGCACCATTCAATAGACATCCTTTAAATAAAAAGAAATTTAATGACTAAATCCATCATATATATCACCAGAACTAGAAATCAAAGGTACGACAGACTCTTTTACACCAGCTGCTTATCTCGATCTTTTCCTCCAATGAAACCAATATTATACAGCTTGCAATCAAGCTGTATGATAAAGTTGATGATTTCAATTTCCCTCTTGTGAATTTTTCATTTCTGGATAGAAATATCCCTACATCTCCAACCTATGGTATTTACATGTCACATTTGATTCGTTATTCAAGGATCTGTTCCAATGATCTTAATTTTCGTTTAAGAAGTCGTCAAATAACTGACAATCTCATAACACAAGGGTTCAAAAGGTTTAGGATGATGGTAATTATGGGGACGTTTTATGGTCACCATAGTGATCTCATTTTGAAATATTCTTTTTCTTTGTGCGACATGAAGCTATGGGTAAGAAATGGGTTAATCACTACAGCGAAGGATCATGCATTTCGTTAAAAGTATTTAAAATTGTATGGCACGTAACAAAGTTTTCGCGCCCTAATCCCCACATAGAGGAACATTGTTACATGTCCCTATGAATACATATATACCTACCTGTGTCAATATTGTCTAGTTAAGGAAAGAAAGAGTTTGGAGTAATTCTGTACAGGATGCAAATGATGACTAGGAGTGATTTTATCATTGCCCCAATTTTGCTCTGACGTAATCCAATCAGCAAATATCTCAATGACGTATATGTAATCCAAATGAGTGTAAAGATTATCCCCCCTTCCCGTCATCGTGTAGCATACATATACATGCTCCCTAAAGGACACAAGTAAAATCATCAGCTGATAGCAGATATCAGGTAGAACATTTTGAACAAACTTATTCGTATTTGTGTGATCAGATTTGCATTAGAATTCCACTAAGGAAGAACTCCAGAATAATACACAGGTACATAACTTGAGTCTTGTTTCGTTCTTAATTGCCTACAGAATTAAGCAACTGTACTTCGTACATGTGATATGAAGCATCTTCTTATCAGTTCTAAAGAGAAAAGTAGTTCTGGTACAGGAGCCTGTAGATTATTGGGAGACTTCCAGACTATTCCAGTCCATGTCAGAAACATCTTCCTAGGTAATGGTAAGGTCACTCTGTAACAAGTTCCATTGTTGGGTAACATCCAATCTCAGATTTTCACCACACAGAAGGAAAGGATACCTCACACACCAGGAAATGTTATACCGGTAATACAGATGTATTGTTGGGTAACATCCAATCTCAGATTTTCACCACACAGAAGGAAAGGATACCTCACACACCAGGAAATGTTATACCGGTAATACAGATGTATTGTTTGGTAACATCCAATCTCAGATTTTCACCACACAGAAGGAAAGGATACCTCACACACCAGGAAATGTTATACCGGTAATACAGATGTATTGTTTGGTAACATCCAATCTCAGATTTTCACCACACAGAAGGAAAGGATACCTCACACACCAGGAAATGTTATACCGGTAATACAGATGTATTGTTTGGTAACATCCAATCTCAGATTTTCACCACACAGAAGGAAAGGATACCTCACACACCAGGAAATGTTATACCGGTAATACAGATGTATTGTTGGGTAACATCCAATCTCAGATTTTCACCACACAGAAGGAAAGGATACCTCACACACCAGGAAATGTTATACCGGTAATACAGATGTATTGTTGGGTAACATCCAATCTCAGATTTTCACCACACAGAAGGAAAGGATACCTCACACACCAGGAAATGTTATACCGGTAATACAGATGTATTGTTTGGTAACATCCAATCTCAGATTTTCACCACACAGAAGGAAAGGATACCTCACACACCAGGAAATGTTATACCGGTAATACAGATGTATTGTTGGGTAACATCCAATCTCAGATTTTCACCACACAGAAGGAAAGGATACCTTACACACCAGGAAATGTTATATCGGTAATACAGATGTATTGTTTGGTAACATCCAATCTCAGATTTTCACCACACAGAAGGAAAGGATACCTCACACACCAGGAAATGTTATACCGGTAATACAGATGTATTGTTGGGTAACATCCAATCTCAGATTTTCACCACACAGAAGGAAAGGATACCTCACACAACAGGAAATGTTATAATACAGATGTATTGTTGGGTAACATCCAATCTCGGATTTTCACCACACAGTAGGAAAGGATACCTCACACAACAGGAAATGTTATGATACAGATATATCGTTGGGTAACATTCTATCTCGGATTTTCACCACACCATAGGAAAGGATACCTTAACCAGATTTTCACCACACAGAAGGAAAGGATACCTTAAACACCAGGAAATGTTATACCGGTAATACAGATGTATTGTTGGGTAACATGTAATTTCGGACTTTCACCACACCATAGGAAAGGATACCTCACACAACAGTAAATGTTATAATACAGATGTATTGTTGTAGAACAGTATGAATAATGAATAATGAATACCTCAAACATAAGGAAATTGGGGAATACTATTTTCCAGAGAAATATTGGTTAGGATAAAAAAAAAAGATTCAATTAAAATTTGACGATGAAAAATATGACAAAGTTTAATTTCACAATTTAATTTACATAAAGTTGAAAACAGAACCTGATTGGTAAACATTTAGTACCACGTTCTTCCCCTATCATTGAATCTCTTGTCTCCAAAATATGTATGTTCTTTACCATCCTTGTTGTTTTTATATACATACTGAGGTTTGAAAAATTCTGAATTGATATCATATTCTACTAATTTCTTTCTATTTTGTTTTTGAACTGTTTCCCTGTCCATTTCCCAAACTGATGGTTCCCAGTCCACTGTGGTTCCTACATTCTCTGGAAGGCCTTCTTCTGCACTAGGGATCTTCCGTCGCACAACAAACTCTCCATTGTCACGTAGATAGCAGTGTTCATAGTCTTCCTCACTCTCTGGTAGACCATAGGGAAATGTTACTGGCACAATCTTCACAAGGTGCTGTACAAATTTTAGCTGCTCATTAATAGTAGGGATGTTCTTCAACAGTACTTTCTGCTGTTTCTGCAATAATAAGTAAAGATATAGTGTAAATCTGGTCATTTTTGCTTTAGTTTAGTTCTATCTACATATATGTATCCTGAGCATAGAAACTTGTTCCTGAAAGAAAATTAATTGCTAATCCTTGACAATTTAAATCCTCATTTAACCAACCAAGCAATACAAGTGTATATTCTATGCGAAAACAAGTAATACATTTAAAAGGGATTTATTTCATTCCTTTCATGTATTGAAATAGATGTTTGGAGCTTATCGGCCCCTGAACAGTCATGGTCATTTTGCAGTGTAGTAACCTTGTAAAGGTTGGTGACTTCCTCACTGACCAACATACAGGAGGCCTATTGCTTGCCATTCTGAATAATTAAGTGTCTTAAATGTCTCAATCAATAAATATTCAAAATCATTATATAAATAATGATTTACAGTTCCTATGTCCCAACAGTAGAACATTTAAAAATGATTGTTCCCAAGTCTAGAGTGAAGGACGTTTATAACTTACCGAGCCTATGTCTGGACAGCGTGAAATATAGGTTAACCTCACCTTTATGAAATGCATTTAATTAATTGTACCAGTTAATTAATGAGTCTGTTAATCAATTTCAATTAATAACAAATCAACAGCAGAGTAATAATACTGACCTTTGTGCCGTAATAATACTGACCTTTGTGCCTTCTCCAAAGCCAAGAATCTTGGCAATTTCTTTTTCTTTTTTTGGTATACCCTTGAGATTGTGAATCCTTACGACCATGTGTAGTGGGGAGATTTCTTGGTTCTGTATTTTTTGTTTCTCTTCTTGCCAATCAAGTAGTGGTTGTGCCCATGTTGTATCTCTCTCTCTCTCTTTCCAGTACTTCTTACTGATACTAGATTTACATCGTACAGAAACCACACTAGTTTGTGTTATCTTCCTCAGCAGACTCCATGTCTGTCAAAGAGAATAACATCAGTAAATCAACAATTGTAAACACTATTTCCAGTAAGACAAGTACATGTGTAAGTAATGTATGATATGAAATGTAAACAACAAGCACTGTGTAATGTAACGGTTTTTTTCAACTCATTAGGGAAATTGTTTTGTTGTCTCACTAAATTAATTGAGAAAGAAATTTTCAGGAGTAAGCTATATATACTTTGGAATTTGGCCATATTAAGAAATAACCCAACTGAGAGTGGGGCCCACATTCAGCCTCTAAATATGCTTTGGTAAGGTGGAAATGTCAACAGCAAAATTATCTGAGTCAACACAACAGTGACAACACTACAGAACAGTTAATTTAAGTGTACAAAGATCGATGATGAAGTCTAATATTTTGTTGGATATGTAATATCCATGTACTTCAGGGCCAATTTATGGTAACTCATGTGTCTCTGTGATATAGTGATATCACCAGAAAATGAAAGACACCTTCCATTTCAAGTGAGTGGATTTGAGGTCGTATTTGTGGAGATTTTTTGGAAAAATACCCACGTTTCACTAATCTGTTCAATCAATAAATCTTAGAGTATGAACACTTAACAATACATTTATGAATTTATTTATTACAATTAACTGACTACATCAAAATTGACATACAGATTTTTAGACGATTAATACAACAAGGATATGTAAAACAGGCTAAGAACACCTTTTTAATTTAAAAAATGACAAAATGACAAAGATATCTGATATTTGCAAACTATTTTCTTTAATATGATGTCTATTTTTTACACCAATGGTTGAACCAAACCTCTATCCTTTTGTACGCAAATCACAGGCGAGTGCATTTTAATATGAGGCCTGCTCACTTGACTTTGTTTGGCTGAATATCTTTTTTCAAATTAGAGGATAAAGAATTCTTGATTACTATCTATTTCTCCATTCAGTTTAATTCAGTAAAATTACTGTTTCTTAAATGATAATTTAACGTATATATTCAAATTTATTACGCTGTTATTACTGTACACACCCCGGCCCTGGCCAGAACTCTCACATTACCAGTAACATTGACATTTTTACTTAGTTTGCTCATTCAAATCTTTGTCCAAGTCCAATTGGAGAGAGAAAAATGCTGAGGTGGTTTAACCATAGCAAACCCTAGGTCTGATCAGGTTAGTGAAGCAAAATGAAATAAATAAAGATTTGTACTCTGTGCCAGACTGTGGGAATGCTATTATGAGTGTTAATTCATCTCCAGCATGGTGGATGCGATTTCTACTTATTATAAGAAAACATACATTCTTTCTCTAAACTATAAAATGTAGATATCAATAATTGCATAAAAAATGTGACGAATACAATGGCGAGTGGAGATGTGGAAAGAGAGGGGAGTATAAAAAGGAAAAGTTTAACATTTTTCAAACACACACCTGCCCTTGGAATGAGACGGCCGCCATCTTAATTATGAACAACGTTGGTAGTTTCGTATTAAAATTAGCCGACCTTGAAAAAATATCGATGAAGTGTCACCTTGCAACGAGGGAAAATAATAATTGTCCAAAACAAATGACTTATTTGTGGATATTTCATTTGTTATATATACCACCAAATAAATTACAGTAATAGAGATACGAAAGTAACTACGACGGCCAAATAATAAGAAAGCTCACGGAACAATAATTTGGGAAATATGTTCTGTTTAATTCGGCCGATAAATCGCAGTGCCATAATCTAAATTAACTTATTACATTTAAAGTTATTTTCTTATCAATATCGGTCCCATTACATGGAAAAGTCTCAAATCCGGATTTCTAAATCAGTGACCATCGTGCCGTATCCATTTCTAATTTTAAATTGACATCTAACGTTTCCGTTTTGTGGGAAAAAACAGTCTGAAATCGAAGAATGCAAGAAAAATGTGATATTGTGAGTATATTTAGCGTTTACGTTTACAGAAGTTGAGACCCCACGTTAGATACTAGTAACAGTATAATGTAAATTACATCAGGGGCCTTCAGTGCGTTGTATTTCTTCACCAAGCGGAAGTCGGAGCAGGATTTGTTTACAAAGTTGTTTTATTTAGTTTCTGATTTTTGTTGGTCTCAGACAAGGGGTTTTCCCTACCTAAAAGTAAGATAAAGTTTTAGGTTGAGTTATCTCATTGTCATGGGTCTGCATCCTGCGAGTCTTTAAGCTGGAGATGTGATGGTATAGTTTAGTGTTATATGTGAAAAGGTTTATAGCACATTTTTAGGTTATTCAGCATGTCTTAAGTGTACGTCAAGATAGGCAAATCAAGTTGACTGGTCTCTGTAGGTGCAGCCGTCTCGTCATTGCAGCCCCAAATTAAAACCAGTTGTCTTTTGACTCCCTGTCCCAAGGCGATCTGACCCCCAACAACAGTCATATATTCATATCCGATATTTGTATATTTTGCATGCTACTTTGTGTATAGTGTATGTCTTATTAAGGTTTATGTTGGGTAATAATTGTTCACATATTTCTGCCAAATATAGATTATGTAACCCTGGAAAGATACTGCCACAATTTACCACACAGCTAGAGAGAACTTCTCTTTAGCTTGATCAGGAAAGCGTTAGACTAGTTAGCCAGAAGTTTGAATCCTACCGGAGGAATTGAAAATAAATAATGACCTATGTTCCACTGGCGCCCATATAGGGAGCTGGGAATGATACTAAGCATTGTCCCACAGTCATCGCTGTTGCCCCTGGAAACTTGAGAGCATGTTATTTCATTGAGGGGAAGTATGTAACCCTGGTAAAATACTAGCCGCAATATACCGTTTGGCAACAGAGAACTTCTCTTTAGCTTGATTGGTTAAGCATCACACTAGTAAGCCAGGGACCTCAGGTTCAAAATCTAGTGGAGGCATTGAAATGAATAATGACCTCTTTTATAATATATGTGTCAATATTTACCAGTTGAAGCTTTTGTTGATTTCTTAAGATCAGAAGTGGGTGTTCAATTATTTAAAAAAAAAAATAAAAGAAGAAAAGAAATTAACAACCCTATGCAGGTCTCTGATTCAACATTGAAAAGCTATGTAAGCTCTATAACATTGGTAAGAACAGTCGTATGATATTACTGACTCAATTATATCTATTTGATCTTCTTTTCTATTATATTATTGAATAAAAAATAAAAGAACAAATCACTTAGTCATGCAACCAATCAGTATACTGACTTGCTTTGTGTGGAGCTTCCAAATGTGTGATATAAGCCCATGGGTTATGATTGTGAGTTGACTAAAAAATAGTGAAGTTTCAAATTTAAATTGGATTCGTTTTTCAGCAAGTTCGTGTCAGAAATTGATAATTAATTGATAGGCCTAAAAATAGGCGTGATACATATGTTGGAAAAGATAATGAGACATAGCAAGGAACATATTTTACTGACATGACAATATTTTAGGTCAGCAATCCATTTCACTCTTACAATTATTGTCTTTCATTATAGTACAGTGCTAGTTTTTGCAGTGATTCTCATATATTGCATAAATGCAGAATCAGACTCCTGTGGTATCAATAATGATTTAGTGAAATGTGTTCTTTATGGTAAATTGCTTTTTGATCAGCTACAGAACCTGGAAAATAAACAAGAAATGTAACTAGTCGCTGGTACAGTACATTCTGTATCCCGTTCTGTACCTAGAATATGGCCAGAATGTAACAACTGGTCATCACTACAACATTCAGCTGTGAACTTTCACACCCGTCACATAGTTGTAATCCCTGACACTCGATGGTGGCCATACTTAATCCCATACACTCAGGTGACACTCTAGATCTACGTCCACAGGGTCTTTGAGTACCACAACACTTTAACACTTACCATAGCCAAAAACTGTATATATATTGATTTCCCTCTAGATGGCTATGATATATGGACAACTGATAAATATTGATCAGATATACATATTTTCATGTTTGATTAAATTTATATATATATGTGTATTTTTTTTTATGTGACCACTTAAGGTGTAATTTGACTGATTTGTTAAACACGCTCAGTCTCCACTTGTATCCAAATGTAAATTCATGTTCATGAAAGTATTTTATTTTTCTTTTATAGGTTGAAGATCCATGTGAAACGTACAGTAATTCGACATGGAACCAAAAGCTGTTGAACTTGCCCTCAGTGGTAAGATGTCGTATTCTGTCTTTCTTGGACTGGGAAAATCGGATCCTAGCAGGGCAGGTTATCCCTGGTTGGTACACTGAGCTTCATACCTCTTTTTCTTGGGCCTTTGTGGAGTTCACCAATTGGGCTATAGGACTCCCCAACGGTTTTAACAGTGCCTTCATTGATGAGGGGAAACAACAAGAAAGATGTATTGAGGAGTTTGGGAAATATTTTCAGCACATTACGATAGCATTGTCAGTGTTCGATGTTCAAGAAAATAGCCATGGTATACATTTGCTCAATAAGCTTGTCCAGTATTGTCCAAGTCTCAAATCACTAAAAATTTACCATGAGTTAATGTTCTGTACTTTTGAAGGAAAATGGGAAGACTATTTAATACCTTTAAAAAGATTGTGTGAAAAGTCATTGAAGAATGTGCAACTGTGTAGCTTGGATGATTGTCCACGAAATATTGAAACTAAAAACTGTAAATTCTTTGAGGTGATGCAAGAGGTGTCTATGTGTGAGCGAGTGGATGTGTTGGAATTTACCCTTCACAGTTACTGTCACAGACCTGTCAAAGGCTTAAGTCCATTCCACAATCTACACACACTGAAGACAGAGCACAGCAGTATCAGCACAGCTATTATACAAGATTTGGTCAAACAGAACCTAAAACACATATACATTATCCGAGACCAGAACACAGAGAAATGGACAAGTGGTACAACACCCATACAGTGGGGTGATATCAAACCAAGGAGGGGCCTTCAAGTACATTACATCTTTGATGAGATCAAAGTACGACTTGATGACTTTGCTTTGAATCCATATTTAGTGTCCATCACATTGAGGAAAGTGCCAAACGCATTATCAAGGGATGTCTTGAGAAACATAGCAGCATTATATGCCAACAGTTTACACACTTTCGCCCATCTGTCAATGCTTCATCCCACGTTGCCACCTTATGATGATATGGAATCATTACCTTGTGATTACTATTACTTTGCCAGTCAGTGTAGAAATCTACGGACTTTCATTTCTGGCATTCCATTGCCATGTGAGGCAGTGTGGTGCCTAGCAATGAAAGCTGACAAATTGCAGAACCTACACATTCAAAAGGGACAGTTACTGTACAACTACCAGGTTTGCATGCCTGTTCCATCCACACTCAGAGAGGGTGGCGGTGTTCTGGACAGTGAGACAAGTTTACGTAAGGAGGTTTCTCATTGGATGGGCTTCAGCTGGACACCTGTACTGGAGGAGGAGCTTATTGAGAAGACTGACAGGCTGCTCCATTTCTAAATATAATATCAAGGTCAACAGGAAATGCCTTTGACCACGTCTATAAATCACATGTTGTTTTTAAAAAATGTTAAATGATTTGTTAACAATATAATTCCCACTTTAATTTACATATAATTTACTAGTATGATTGATGTAGCAGGCAAATCATCATCATCATTTCATATTACTAAAGTCTGCTTTCCTGTGTATGAAAACTTGATTATATGGCTGAATTATTGTAAGGTTGGATTTCTGAGAGCTACATATACCTACATCAGTATGTGATATTAGTAAAACTGTAGAATCTTAAGCTGTGATTTTTATGGAGGAAATAAAAGTGATCTGTTTTACAGACTAGTTGATTATTTAAGAGATGATTAACAATGAGAGGCCACTACAGCCTGCTTGGCTCCCTTCATTATTACAGCAATTGCCTCAAATCATTTGTATTCACTCTGATATTGTTAACGAAGTCCCAGATGAGATTTAAAAGATGTGATGCTTCTTTTTACTTGGGGTCCCGTCCCTCAGTGTTCAGAGAAGGGAACAAATCTTGCAGTATCAATACCCAAGTTTTAAAGAAAAATGAGTCATTTATCCAAGGATGCTCTTGGTCAAACATGGTAAAAAGAAGAGTTTTGGACTTTGTGTTTCCCATATATCCCTATTACTATACTCTAGGGAAGGTGGAGAATGAGGGATAGATTCTCTAGATCAGTTTAAACTTAAACTAATGAATTTCTTCTTCACCCAAGGATGCTCTAGAGAAAGTGCTGTCATAATCCCTTCATCCTAGAAATATTTTAAAGGTTGCCGTTCTTTCCCAAATTTGGCCACACCAATCTGCCCCATGATTAACAAGAGGCAGACTCATATAAACACAAATCAAGTCTGACAAAATATATCATTTATTCCAACCCCCAAAAACCACACCTTCGAATGAGCAATATTTCATTTGAACATCTGTCTAAAATAAGATAAACGACACTCGCTGCACGAAGGTTTGCCAAATGATGATAATGAAAATAGAGTTTTACTACATAAGCGATCTCCACAGCTCTCTGCAAAAAACAGCAATAGGAAATTTTGATTTTGAAGGAAATCAAAGGCGGACGACAGTCCTCCAGGTGCATAGATGCATTTACGCAAACACGATGCTGCATAAAATCATTTATAAAACAAATCATTTGCCACACCGGATTTCTTTACAGCTTCAAGAAAAGAAGGTGAAATTGGAGTCAGAGACTACAAAAAAGGAGGCGGGCGGTTCAGTTTTAAAAATATTAGTGCCCCCTCTAACCCGAAATCTTCGATTTGCCCCTGTTTTAGCAAATCCAAACTAGGAACGAATTCATACACGAATATGTGTTGACGCTAAGGAAATTTCACTTCCTGTAGGATAGCTTTTCAAACTTATATTTTGATATAAAGTTTTTATTATGGAGTATTCTAATGAACAAAATATCACAACACTGAATCACAAATCCGGTCTATGGAATTGACAGTTGGTAAGGGGAGAACATTCAACGGCATGGTTTGCCGTGATTCACATGCTACGGTTTAATTCATTAGCATGGTGGTACGGATATACACATGTACTTGACGCTGTTCTTCTGGTGTAAGAAAATTACAAAATCCATTTAATTATGGGGCTTCTGCTCCTCCCGTCTAGATTTTGACTTTTCTTCCAATCACTTCGAATATTCCTCAGTCGCCTCCCAAGCTTCATAATTTAGGCCTTTGGCATCGCTGACGACTCTTAGAATAACGAAACAGCTGTATGACGTAGTTAAATTTATTGTTTGGCAATAATGTATCTAACTCTACAATATTAAAACGTGCCATTCACTTGTGTCTCTTTTGTACAATCTTTCTTTTATTTCAAACTCCAGAAATGATATCACGACTAAAATCTAGCTAAGACCTCCAGATAGTATAACAGTAACAGTCAATCACCTTGAAGGGTCATCCAATCAAAATTACGTTTACAACTTGATGGCGTGCTTTCAGTACGAACTATATAAAGTAAACTGATGATGAAGATGTAACATAACAATTAATAAAATCCGCCATAGGTGTACATAGCGCATTCAGTAGCCCTGGAAAGTGTATCATACATGGAATATAGTTTATCTGCGTCAACTTCCACAAATATTTTGTTTCCTTACCTTACCTTATGTTGTCTCTGCCCGCAGGACCTGTTGGTCCTCTATAGGCAGCTCAAAATTGTCATTACGTCGGTTTAATGTCCTTCCGGTGTCTTTATCTGGTCCATATCTTACTGTATAATTAAACCTCAATGGATGTCTTTCCCAGTATTTGTCGAGCCTGTTTTTGAATTGGTTTGTTGTGGTAGCTGTAACAACTGTGTCAGGGAGGCTGTTCCAAGTGTCCACTACCCGATGAGAAAAGCTGTACTTCCTAATGTCCTTAACACAATGTTGTTTAGTTAACTTAAGTGAGTTTCACCCGGTGTTGCTGGTCATGTTTAAATTCAGTATTTTCCTGGTTACTTTTTGGTCGTATATTCCCTTCAATATTTTAAACACCTCGATCATATCCCCTCTCATTCTTCTAAATTTCAACGATGGTAGTCCTAGGTGATTCAGTCTTTGTTCATAATCAAGGTTTTTTAGCTGTGGTAACATTCTTGTTGCCCTCCTCTGGACGTTTTCGAGTAATTCTATGTCTTTTATCTTGTGGGGTGACCATACTGAGCTTGCATACTCCATATAGGGTCGGACTAGTGCCTTAAATAATAAACAGAATGTCCTGTTATCAAGGTAAATGAATGTACGTCTCATTAGTCCTGCTATCTGGTTAGCTTTGTTCACCTGGGTCTGTATATGTTTTTCGAATGTGAGGTGTTTGTCAATGGTAACTCCAATGTCCTTTTCACTGTCCACGTTCTCTAAAATCTTACTTCCTCCTCCCTCCTTGCGCATACTGTACTCTGCTTCTTCTACCTGTTTTCCTTTGTTATGAATGGATAGGACCTTGCACTTATCCGGATGAAACTTGAGCAACCATTTCTCACTCCATTGGTATAATTCGTCCAGATCCTTCTGAAGAGTAGCTTTATCACTGCTACCTATAATTTCTCTAAAAATTTTGGTGTCGTCCGCAAACAAAAATACATCCGACAATACGCAATCTGGAAGGTCATTTATAAAGATTACAAATAACACTGGTCCCAACACAGATCCTTGGGGTATGCCACTAGTAACAAAATGCCATTTAGAATGAGCTCCATTAACTTGTACACATTGTTTCCTATCTGCCAAAAAGTGTTCTACCCATGTACACAGTTTCTTGTGGATCCCGTACATTTTCAATTTTTCAATGAATCTGCAGTGTGGAACCTTGTCAAAAGCTTTCATAAAGTCCATGTAGATTGTATTTATGACTCCTCCCCGGTCCAGAATTTCTGTCCAGTTGTCTAGTACGCTCAATAATTGTAAAGATGTAGACCTCCCTCCTAGGAATCCGAACTGTTTTTCACTGAATAGGTTATTCTTCTCCATGTATTCCATGATTCGTGCTCTTATTATCTTTTCCATCGTTTTACATACAATACTCGTCAAACTGACTGGCCTGTAGTTGGATGCTGAACTTTTGTCTCCTTTCTTGAATATAGCTGTTATTTTTGCGACTTTCCATATTTCTGGTATGTCTCCCGTCTCTAATGATTTCACAAATATCATGAATACTGGTTCACTAATCACCGAACGTAGTTCAAACAGCACTTTTGGGTGAAGTCTATCGGGTCCTTGTGATTTTGTAACGTTTAGTTTGGAGAGAAGCTTGGTTACTTCTTCAATGGTTATGCTTTCAAATGAATTTTGTATGATATCTTTATTTTCCAACTCTGGCATGTTCTCACAATTTTCCATAGTAAAGACACTACTAAAAAAGTTTGCAAGTACTTCCGCCTTCTCCTTGTCTGTACTAGCTGTGATATTCCCATCCTGTGAGCTTTCATGTAGTTCTGACACTCCGCTCCTAGATTTCCTTTTTGAGTTCACGAACTTCCAAAAGATTTTACTATTACTCTTTGCTGATTCAGCCACTTGTCGCTCTTTGTCTTTTCTCTCTTTCCTTATTAATCTTTTAACCTTGTTTCTTGCTTTGCAATAATCTCTGTGTTTTTCTGTCGTTCTGTCTTGCATATACCTCTCCCATAATCGGTGCTTCCTTTTAATGGTTTTAACTGTTTTCCTACTAAGTGGTATTGTACCTTTGGTATTCCTAGGTTTACTCATAGGGATGTGCTTATCTATCAATATGGAAAGCTTGTCTATAGATATGTCCCACATTTCCAAGGTGTTGCGTCCGTCAAATTCCTCTTCCCAGTTAATGTTCATTTCTTTACCCATTATATCATAATCCCCTTTGTAATAGTTCAGACGAGCAGAGTTATCCGTTATGTCATCCAAGCAACAATTAAATTCAAACTGAATAACGCTATGGTCACTAGCTCCCAAGGGATGTAAGTATTCGGTCTTTATAATATTGTTAATATCATTCACAAGTAGTAGGTCTAACAGTGAAGATTCTTGTCCATGCCTGTGCCTGGTTTCCGTGTCAACAACTTGATAAAAATAATTGTCCCGTATACATTCAACAAATCTGGCACCACTGGCGTTCCCTGTGCTCCAGTCATCCCAATCTATATCTGGGAAGTTAAAATCTCCTGTTATAACTGTGTGAGTGTATCTGCATTCCCCTACTTTGTTCAGCAAATCATTAAGTGCTTCAAGATTATGTTCACTCGATGATGGGCTTTTATACATGCACCCAAATAGCAGTGTGTCTTTTTTATTCAAGGATATCCTCACCCATACACATTCTTCAAAATCTGTTTCAAATTGAACTTCAACAGCATTTATTTTCTTTGACACATAAATGATTGCCCCTCTTTTTTTTGTCACCTGGGAAATTACTTGGAAAAAGTTGATAGTTTGGTATTTCTGCTTTATTTAGGGTATAACTCCTATTTTTGGGTAAAACTTGTGTAATGGCTATAACATGTGGTGGGGTTCCTGACAGAAATCTATTTTTGAATTCGTCCATCTTGTTTAAGAAACTGTCAGCATTTGTACTGATACATTTAAGATTATGCTTCTTTTCTGAGTCATTTCTCACAATTTTAACCGATGAATTATTAATATCAACAACAACACTATTTAAATCAAAAACATTTGAATTTTTTAACTTATTTGCACTATGTACAGTAATATTGTTACTACTTCTTGCTCTGTTTAATTTTCTTTTTGTGTGGTAACTTTTACCACTTTCCTTGCCCATGGAGGGCCCCTCACTCTGAATTTGAATCCCCCCGAAGACTGCGATTCTCTGTTTTTGGCTTCCTATCTTAATTGCTTTTCTTGTTCTCTCTCTGCTTTTGTCAGGTCATTTGATATTCTGATGTTCTTGAATTTTCCTGCTGAGTGTAAATTCCTAATATTCTTGAATAATCTGGATTTTGTATCCACCTTGTCAAAGGATACCAGTAATGGTGTTCCACCGGTTTTACTTGCATTTTTTTTCATTCTCACTGCTCTGACTGTTTCTTTATAGCGACCAAGTCTGATAACTTTGACAATGCTTTCTTTCTGATTATCTTGCTCCATTTTCACATTACAAGTTTCAAGTATTTCTCTAATTACTTTTGTGTCCTGTTTCTTCCTTTCATACTTATCATTTGAATCACTTTCTTCTATCCCATGAACGACTATGTTGTTTTCCCTTGCTTTTCTCTCATTCATTTCAGTTATGACAGTATCCATGGTAACTATGTCAACAACTTCTCCAATGTTGTTTTTCCCTTCTGTTTGTTCATCTTTATCATTGTTCCTTATATCATCCATTTCCTTCTTGACTATTTCCTGCACCTGTTTTTCATCACACTTACTGTCCAGTTTTTCTTCAATAGCTGTAATTCTGTTCTCATAAGTTTGCATGATAAGCTGGCATCTCTCTTCTATCTTGCGATCAGTTTTTTTCTCTATTAGTTCCCTGCACCTACCACAAAACCACATCAGATGACTGCAACAGTTTATATTCTTCCTCTGGTTTATTCAAACACTTGATACAGAAGTGGTGTTTGCAACGTTGACATTCCAGCATTTTCGCCATTGGATCTTTAGACACCTTCTCACACTTCTCACAAGTCCACGCCTCATCTCCTTCATCTTCAATGTCACTGTTCCATGCTAACCTAAATGGCGATTCAGATGGGGATTGAGTTCTGGAGTTGGATCTTGATGCTCCTCTAGAGTTTGTTCCTTTGGCAGCTCTCTTCTTTTTTGTCTGGTTGCCGGCCGGTAGGCCTCCATCTTGTTTACCTTTTTGTGCCATGACTTCCGTTTGTGAAAAATCCTTATTTTTCATAAAATAAGCAGAAACTAGACTATTTGATGTGTAAAACTTACAGTGAAAATAAAACCTTACCACCTTCCAGCATTTAGTGTGCTTAACAATCTTTTAAACGAACGTAAGCATAGAATTTTGTTCAGGCCGAAGCGCTGCTGTTAATAATTCAACTTTACCGGTCGACCGCGACCGGTATGAAATGAAACAATAACAAATACCACAGCAGACATGACGAATAACCTTAATAGAAGTTGCAATTTACCTCATTTAGAAAATAATATTTGAAACAGCACAAAAAATTATCATCATCAAAATATTAAGTGTCCAAAAAGTTTGGTATTCACATTTTCAGCTGACACCTGTCGTAACGCTGTCTTCCATATTGGTTTGATATGCGCAAGTTTTCGGACTCGTCGGTGGCGGGATGTGCAATCTGAAACCAGATGTGGTATACCTGGGATGTGAATCATTCTAAACGGGTAATGTAAAGTTTCCTCCTCTGCCGCCTACCCTTTAACCGGCAAGTACCCGGAGTCTGCCACCTACCCTTCAGTCGGCAAGTATCCGAGTTTGCCGCCTAACCTTTAACCGGCAAGTATCCGGAGTCTGCCACCTACCCTTTAACCGGAAAGTATCCGGAGTCTGCCACCTACCCTTTAACCGGAAAGTATCCGGAGTCTGCCACCTACCCTTTAACCGGAAAGTATCCGGAGTCTGCCGCCTACCCCTCAGTCGGCAAGTATCCGGAGTCTGCTGCCTAACCTTCAGTCGGCAAGTATCCGGAGTCTGCCGCCTACGCTTTAACCGGCAAGTATCCGGAGTCTGCCACCTACCCTTCAGTCGGCAAGTATCCGAGTCTGCCGCCTACCCTTTAACCGGAAAGTATCCGGAGTCTGCCGCCTACCCTTTAACCGGCAAGTATCCGGAGTCTGCCACCTACCCTTCAGTCGGCAAGTATCCGGAGTCTGCCGCCTACCCTTTAACCGGCAAGTATCCGGAGTCTGCCGCCTACCCTTTAACCGGCAAGTATCCGGAGTCTGCCGCCTACCCTTCAGGCGGCAAGTATCCGAGTTTGCCGCCTAACCTTTAACCGGAAAGTATCCGGAGTCTGCCGCCTACCCCTCAGGCGGCAAGTATCCGGAGTCTGCTGCCTACCCTTCAGTCGGCAACTATCCGGAGTCTGCCGCCTACGCTTTAACCGGCAAGTATCCGGAGTCTGCCACCTACCCTTTAACCGGCAAGTATCCGGAGTCTGCCACCTACCCTTTAACCGGAAAGTATCCGGAGTCTGCCGCCTACCCTTTAACCAGCAAGTATCCGGAGTCTGCCACCTACCCTTTAACCGGAAAGTATCCGGAGTCTGCCGCCTACCCCTCAGTCGGCAAGTATCCGGAGTCTGCTGCCTAACCTTTAACCGGCAAGTATCCGGAGTCTGCCACCTACCCTTTAACCGGAAAGTATCCGGAGTCTGCCGCCTACCCCTCAGTCGGCAAGTATCCGGAGTCTGCTGCCTAACCTTTAACCGGAAAGTATCCGGAGTCTGCCACCTACCCTTTAACCGGAAAGTATCCGGAGTCTGCCGCCTACCCCTCAGTCGGCAAGTATCCGGAGTCTGCTGCCTAACCTTCAGTCGGCAAGTATCCGGAGTCTGCCGCCTACGCTTTAACCGGCAAGTATCCGGAGTCTGCCACCTACCCTTTAACCGGCAAGTATCCGGAGTCTGCCACCTACCCTTTAACCGGCAAATATCCGGAGTCTGCCACCTACCCTTTAACCGGAAAGTATCCGGAGTCTGCCGCCTACCCTTCAGTCGGCAAGTACCCGGAGTCCGCCACCTACCCTTCAGTCGGCAAGTATCCGCAGTCTGCCGCCTACCCTTTAACCGGCAAGTATCCGGAGTCTGCCGCCTACCCTTTAGTATCCGGAGTCTGCCACCTACCCTTTAACCGGAAAGTATCCGGAGTCTGCCGCCTACCCTTCAGTCGGCAAGTATCCGAGTTTGCCGCCTACCCTTTAACCGGCAAGTATCCGGAGTCTGCCACCTACCCTTTTACCGGCAAGTATCCGGAGTCTGCCGCCTACCCTTCAGTCGGCAAGTATCCGGAGTCTGCCGCTTGAGTGAATATACAAGCGCTATTTTCCATCACCACGTCACAAGAATGTGTTATCCCATGTTGCGAATACGTATTGTAGTGACACTCATCACGGCTCGAACTATGTACACCATCATCATCATCATCATCATCATCATCATCATCATCATCATCAATAATATGATAATGTGTGTGTTAGTGTGTGTGTCCCTTGTATTACAGGTGAATTGCTGATATGGTTAGAAAATTGTTAATACAAATGTGCATTATTGCGTTGAGATGAACAAATTATCATTATTATCAAAAATAACATCTTTAAGTAACTGTTTACAGTCCCTGGTATTTTGTTTTAATTCTAGTGATTCGGAAGTTATTTTCATTACAAATTTAACGATTTGAAAGCGTATCATAAATTGTTGTACATTTAGCAGTTGTTTTCAATGTTGGAGGTAAATTGAATGACCTTCATCGAAAACATTTAAAGTATTGCTCATTGAAGAAATATTCACTTTCAAAATATAGAAACCATTTATTTGACTTGAAAAAGAACATACTACTGAATGAGTTAGGCAATTTATGGATATCAGTAAATTGTGTGTGACTTTTTCCCGCTTTGACTTGACATATTTATTTGGAGTCGTGATTTTTTAAGAGTGTCGGAATATGAAATAGACATTGGCTAAAATGAGCGAAATCAGATCGCGTTGCACATTTTATATGAGTTATTCCCCTTTGATCATTATACATTGTTGGGCTTATTATGAATTTTTGGGCTATATTAACTTTTCGGACAATATGGTTGGGGATAAATGAAACAAATTTGGGGCGAAATTGCTTGAGGCTAAATGGGATTTGTTTTTGTTTTGTGAAGTGGAGGGGAGGGAGTGGGCCCGATAGCCAAATACGGACTTGATGAAAACTATGTAGTTGCCTTTTAATATTAAAAAATATGTATAGACATATATGTGTTGAAGTCTGTGTCATGTTTCACCAGGTGCGTATGTTTGCCAAATTTCAAGAAAATTATGAGCTTTTCCTTAACTATCCATACCTGGAACTAGAGCATGCTATGTTGTATAGAAGCTTCTATTTGCTTATTTGTAAGACAAGCACTTCAGTGACCAAGACGAGGAAGCGACAAGGTACAAGGCGATATTGATGCCAGATGGCCACAGTGATGGCTGAAATGTCAGAAGACTCGAGTTTGGGTATGCTTATTAGCTTTCCAGTTTCTGTTTGTATCATATTCTATGTAACAACACAATTGTCCCGTATTTAGCAAATGTATGTAACCTCACGGTCACTGACCAGAGGAGCATAATTTCTTGATGACAAGTTGTACTACGTAAAAGGACAGGTTTCATTTTACCTTTATTATACACAGTTCTAACACTTAATACCCGTAACTATCCCAAAGAAGACTCTAGATCAAGTTTCATTTTACCTTTATTATACACAGTTCTAACACTTAATACCCGTAACTACCCCAAAGAAGATCAAATATCTTTACTGCAAAAGCTTTAAAATATCTAACGTCTCCGTTATTAACAAGACATTGTTACTACCAGTGTACAGACAACTAATGCAGCTGAACATCATTACCATCAGAAATTATGCAACATATGGTACAAGATAAACTGTTAAAATATATGAATGAATATAAGTTAATCACATATCCCTTGTTCGAATTATTCTGACATTCTATCAACTTTCTTATGTCTGTCTGTGTCTGTCTGGAGTCAATGAACTCCAGCCCTATATAGAGTGAGGGAAATAAGCAACATGGATCTCTAATAAGGCCCTCTATGTAAAGGATCTGTAATAAGGCCTTCTATGTATAGCATCTCTAATAAGGCCCAACCTGGAATACATCTGGTCATCTAACAGTTATAATGTGATGAGAGTCAAAATTGCATTTGAAAATGTGCAGAAATGAGATTTTGAAGAATTTACAATACAATATATAATTATTCAAAATGCCTTATATCCCTGGACCAGTTGGTACTAAACAATTCTTGTTATTGCTATTTCTTGTAGAGTACAAGATGGATCTTTCTCAAATTTTATATAAAGGTTCCTCTTGGTCTCTAGTTGTGCCTATTTGATTTTGATTAGAAGAACAAAACAATTGACATGTTGTAAGCCATCTTGAATTTTCAGAAAGAATGTTTGCTATCACTGTTTTTGAGAATACTTGCTGGATCTTTCTCAGATTTCATATGTAGGTTCCCTTTTGTCCACGTAGTTGTACCCAATTGATTCTGGGACTGGTGAGGAAAACAGTTTGACTGACAGACGATCATGTTATGTTTTGACAATCAAAGTTTGTTATTGTTTTATTTTGAGGAACACTAGATAGATTTATGTATGTAGGTTTCCCTTGGTCCCTACTTGTGCCCATCTGATTCTGGGACTGATCAGGAAAACAAAATGGCTAACAGGCAATTACTTTGGTATTGTTAATTTTTTATAGCTATGTTGTCAGAGGGATTTTTCAAATTTTATAAATGAAAAAACTTAAAAGAAAATATTAAAAAGAAGGAAATGATCTTTTGAAGCCAACATGAAGACCAAACAATAGTGGGCATCAACATCCCTTTGGGATCTCTTGTTCAAATTGTGGCAGGTACATATTAATTGTTGTGGTGTGAGTATGCTCTAAAGTAGTATTGACAGGGAACATTTTTCATCAACATTAATAGTTCATAACATGTAGTCTGATATGTGTACAAGCAGTAGGGGGCACAACTCAATCCATATGATTGGATGACAGATATAAGGTTACAATTTTTACTTACAGAGAAAAAGAGGAAAGACTTTGAAAATGCACTGACAAATGAATGGATCCAAGAAGGAGTGTTTGAACGATATGATGAGCCAGATGAGTTATTGAGAGTGAGGCGAGCCATTCTTCATTATATATGCGAGGGCTTAGGTCAGTATGTCTTGAAATGTCTTGATAGTCATCATCTGTCTGTGACATCGATCAATTGTCTGTGACATCGATCAATTGTCTATGACATCGATCAACTGTCTATGACTTGTTCAACTGTCTATGTCTTTGATTAATTGTCTATGACATTGATCAGCTGTCTATGTCTTTGTTCAACTGTCTATGTCTTTGATTAATTGTCTATGACATCGATCAACTGTCTATGACTTGTTCAACTGTCTATGTCTTTGATTAATTGTCTATGACATTGATCAGCTGTCTATGACATCGACCAGCTGTCTATGACATCGATCAGCTGTCTAAGACTTTGATCAACTGTCAATGTCTTTGATTAATTGTCTATGACATTGATCAGCTGTCTATGACATCAATCAGCTGTCTATGACATTGATCAACAGCCTGACATTGATTACCGAGGTAAATATGACATTGATTACCGAGGTAAATATGACATTGATCACCTGTCTATGACATCTGTTGACTGCCAACTACAGTTATCTGTAACAGTTATGATGATAATAATAATACAATGTCTCAAGTCCTACTTTGATAGAACATACATCAGATGCTTTATCATAGCAGCATAGCTGTCTGAAAGAGATTCACAAATATATGTAGGTTGTAGAATTGTAAGAAGATTGAAATCTAACATTTTGTTTTTATTTAGAAACACATGTGAAAGTTGATATAAAATAAGTCATGCATTCATTGATGGGTCTGGTGTACAATATTTCACTTTTGTTCTGTTTGCAAACTTCCAGATTACAAGACTGAAGACTTTTGCAAAAAAGTTAACAAATTGATCAATATAGAAGGTACTGACATTCCACGTCACCCAGATGTTTATAAGTTTGAAGGGGATGAAGAGGACCAGGACAGGACAGGTTTGATAGGATATAGTGACTCACTCTGTAACCAAAACATGAAAATGCTGTATAAGCTATAAGTAAATAGAGAATATGTGAATAGAAATAACCTTAGTATGATGAAATGAATCTCTCAGATAGATTTATAGAGTCTTAAAACACTTAGATAACCAGCCAGGTAGTGGAACAAGATTTATAGAGTATTAAAACACTTAGATAATCAGCCAGGTAGTGGAACAAGATTTATAGAGTATTAAAACACTTAGATAACCAGCCAGGTAGTGGAACAAGATTTATAGAGTATTAAAACACTTAGATAACCAGCCAGGTAGTGGAACAAGATTTATAGAGTATTAAAACACTTAGATAACCAGCCAGGTAGTGGAACAAGATTTATAGAGTATTAAAACACTTAGATAGTCAGCCCAGTAGTGGAACAAGATTTATAGAGTATTAAAACACTTAGATAACCAGCCCAGTAGTGGAACAAGATTTATAGAGTATTAAAACACTTAGATAGTCAGCCCAGTAGTGGAACAAGATTTATAGAGTATTAAAACACTTAGATAACCAGCCAGGTAGTACACTTAGATAATCAGCCAGGTAGTGGAACAAGATTTATAGAGTATTAAAACACTTAGATAATCAGCCAGGTAGTACACTTAGATAATCAGCCAGGTAGTGGAACAAGATTTATAGAGTATTAAAACACTTAGATAATCAGCCAGGTAGTGGAACAAGATTTATAGAGTATTAAAACACTTAGATAATCAGCCAGGTAGTGGAACAAGATTTATAGAGTATTAAAACACTTAGATAATCAGCCAGGTAGTGGAACAAGATTTATAGAGTATTAAAACACTTAGATAATCAGCCAAGTAGTGGAACAAGATTTATAGAGTATTAAAACACTTAGATAGTCAGCCCAGTAGTGGAACAAGATTTATAGAGTATTAAAACACTTAGATAGTCAGCCCAGTAGTGGAACAAGATTTATAGAGTATTAAAACACTTAGATAATCAGCCCAGTAGTGGAACAAGATTTATAGAGTATTAAAACACTTAGATAATCACAGGTAGTGGAACAAAATTTTTAGAGTATTAAAACACTTAGATAATCAGCCCAGTAGTGGAACAAGATTTATAGAGTATTAAAACACTTAGATAATCAGCCAGGTAGTGGAACAAGATTTATAGAGTATTAAAACACTTAGATAATCAGCCAGGTAGTGGAACAAGATTTAGATAATCAGCCAGTGGAACAAGATTTATAGAGTATTAAAACACTTAGATAACCAGCCAGGTACAAGATTTATAGAGTATTACACTTAGATAATCAGCCAGGTAGTGGAACAAGATTTATAGAGTAAAGTACACTTAGATAAACACTATAGATAAAACACTTAGATAATCAGCCAGGTAGTGGAACAAGATTTATAGAGTATTAAAACACTTAGATAATCAGCCAGGTAGTGGAACAAGATTTATAGAGTATTAAAACACTTAGATAACCAGCCAGGTAGTACACTTAGATAATCAGCCAGGTAGTGGAACAAGATTTATAGAGTATTAAAACACTTAGATAATCAGCCAGGTAGTGGAACAAGATTTATAGAGTATTAAAACACTTAGATAAGTACACTTAATCAGCCAGGTAGTGGAACAAGATTTATAGAGTATTAAAACACTTAGATAATCAGCCAGGTAGTGGAACAAGATTTATAGAGTATTAAAACACTTAGATAACCAGCCAGGTAGTGGAACAAGATTTATAGAGTATTAAAACACTTTGATAATCAGCCAGGTAGTGGAACAAGATTTATAGAGTATTAAAACACTTTGATAACCAGCCAGGTAGTACACTTAGATAATCAGCCAGGTAGTGGAACAAGATTTATAGAGTATTAAAACACTTAGATAATCAGCCCAGTAGTGGAACAAGATTTATAGAGTATTAAAACACTTAGATAATCAGCCCAGTAGTGGAACAAGATTTATAGAGTATTAAAACACTTAGATAACCAGCCAGGTAGTGGAACAAGATTTATAGAGTATTAAAACACTTAGATAGTCAGCCAGGTAGTGGAACAAGATTTATAGAGTATTAAAACACTTAGATAATCAGCCAGGTAGTACACTTAGATAATCAGCCAAGTAGTGGAACAAGATTTATAGAGTATTAAAACACTTAGATAACCAGCCAGGTAGTGGAACAAGATTTATAGAGTATTAAAACACTTAGATAATCAGCCAGGTAGTGGAACAAGATTTATAGAGTATTAAAACACTTAGATAATCAGCCAGGTAGTGGAACAAGATTGATAGAGTATTAAAACACTTAGATAGTCAGCCCAGTAGTGGAACAAGATTTATAGAGTATTAAAACACTTAGATAATCAGCCAGGTAGTGGAACAAGATTTATAGAGTATTAAAACACTTTGATAACCAGCCAGGTAGTGGAACAAGATTTATAGAGTATTAAAACACTTAGATAACCAGCCAGGTAGTGGAACAAGATTTATAGAGTATTAAAACACTTAGATAGTCAGCCCAGTAGTGGAACAAGATTTATAGAGTATTAAAACACTTTGATAGTCAGCCCAGTAGTGGAACAAGATTTATAGAGTATTAAAACACTTAGATAGTCAGCCCAGTAGTGGAACAAGATTTATAGAGTATTAAAACACTTAGATAATCAGCCAGGTAGTGGAACAAGATTTATAGAGTATTAAAACACTTAGATAATCAGCCAAGTAGTGGAACAAGATTTATAGAGTATTAAAACACTTAGATAGTCAGCCAGGTAGTGGAACAAGATTTATAGAGTATTAAAACACTTAGATAACCAGCCAGGTAGTGGAACAAGATTTATAGAGTATTAAAACACTTAGATAATCAGCCAGGTAGTACACTTAGATAATCAGCCAGGTAGTGGAACAAGATTTATAGAGTATTAAAACACTTAGATAATCAGCCAGGTAGTGGAACAAGATTTATAGAGTATTAAAACACTTAGATAACCAGCCAGGTAGTACACTTAGATAATCAGCCAGGTAGTACACTTAGATAATCAGCCAGGAAGTACACTTAGATAATCAGCCAGGTAGTACACTTAGATAATCAGCCAGGTAGTACACTTAGATAATCAGCCAGGTAGTACACTTAGATAATCAGCCAGGAAGTACACTTAGATAATCAGCCAGGTAGTACACTTAGATAATCAGCCAGGAAGTACACTTAGATAATCAGCCAGGTAGTACACTTAGATAATCAGCCAGGTAGTGGAACAAATACTACTAAACAAGGCAAACTTGTATTCAATCTGATTAAAACAGACCATCATTTTACACTTTGTTACAAAGATCTGATGGCGGCCGGTTAAGGGTCACACTCAGATGGCCTTTCAACCAACAAATCAAAATGCGCCTGGCAAAATATTTGCAACAATGCTTTTCTATCACCTGTTCCATTACTTCATCTTTTTCTTCCAATTTGCACACTTTGGGGAACAGGCATACGAGAGACCAGTTTTGATTGTCTGATAAAATTTTGTGTTGGATGGTTGAGGTTATCTGAATATGACCCCTTGTCAGGCTCTGTCAGGACGCTATAAGGTAGTGTATATTGATGATCTACATTCTAATCAGATTCAATTATAGTACAAATTAAAACTAGGTTATATTATTATTGCTAATTTTTTGAGTTGGTAGACAGGTTACAAATATGTTATGCCAATTACAACTACATGAATAAACCAACACCACCAACCTCCTCCCCCCATACCCAAAGATCATATTGACTTATACTATTTATTTAATCTATGTCATGTTGTTGCATTAAATTTTAGAAAGTATTCCCGCTTTCTTATTACATGTACTAACCCCCCCTCCCCCCACCCACCCACCCCTCAATTTTATTAATTCTGCTTTAATGCTTGACATGTATGATCTTTATTTCCTCATGGTGTAGATGGCAGGAATAGAAGATCAGAGATAGAAATGGAAATTGCTGTTCCTCATGGCACCAATAACTGCTTAGACACACATGACAATGAAACCATGGATAAGACACCACAAGTCATGCCCGGCTCAGCCAAACAGACCATGGATCAGGACCAACAAGTCACGCCTGACTCAGCCAAACAGACCATGGATCAGGACCAACAAGTCATGCCTGACTCAGCCAAACAGACCATGGATCAGGACCAACAAGTCACGCCAGACTCAGTGAAAGAGACAATGGATAAGACACCACAAGTCACCTGTACGATGTATGTGTTTTATGTCATGGCACAACTTTCATGATTGCTTTGTGTTTATGTAATGCTGGAAGTCAGTGTACAAATTTCTGTTTTTACCCCACAGCCCGAAAGGGTGTGGGGTATTGCGATCACACACGGCATCCGTCCGTCGAGCCATCTGTTGCTACGTCTGTCCGTCCGTCCACAATTGCATTCCGCTAATTATCTCAAAAACTACATCACTGGTCATCACCATTTTCACTGGGGATGTTGGGCATATGGACCTACACAACCATATTGTTTTTCGTCACCACACAATATCCAATATGGCGGTTACGGACGCCATCTTGAATTTGCATTTCGCTCATTATCTCAAGATCAACAAAACCGGTGGTCACCTTTTTTTACTGAGGATGTTGAGTCTATTGACCTATACAACCCTATTGTTTTTTGTCGCCACCCGATATCCAATATGGCGGTTACGGGCGCCATCTTGAATTTGCATTCCGCTCATTATCTCAAGAACGACAACACCGGTGGTCACCATTTTCACTGAGGATGTTGGGCTTATTGATCTATACAACCCTAATGTTTTTTCGTCACTGCCCGATATCCAATATGGTGGTTATGACTGCCATCTTGAATTTGCATTCCACTCATTATGTCAAGAACGACATCACCAGAGATCACCATTTTCGCGGGCCTATGGACCTACACAGCCTATTTAGGTTCTTCACTATCTCAGCCCTGCATCCAACTTTATAATAAGGCTGTGGGGTATTGGCCGCGTTTGCGGAGCTATTTTTATAATAATGATGAATCCTGATTTTCTTATGCTACTGTCAATATATGGGAGGAGGAGGGTTAGCAATTAGTGTTAACCATGTCCATTCATCGGGTCCTGTCATGTCACATCAGCTTCAATTTAGAATTGGTGTCTTAAAAGCCTTTCGAAATCAAGGTTTTCACCTTTTAGGTGATCAATTTGTTCAACGTTAATGGTTAAAGGTCAGTATTCGTGACCAAGATATTACATGAACCCCTCTACATATATTAAGTCCTTATTCAAATTTATTATGGCATCAAGTCCAGCATATGACTAGATTTTGGTAATAATCAGTCCAGCTCAGAGGTCAGCCTTAACCACTTATGGAATAAAAAGTATGTGTAAAACATATCTCATTAACCCTCGAACAGATTTTGTTCATATTTAAACCATAACACCCCAACATCAAATTCTGCACCTGGTTTTGTCTTGGTGGTCATTGGTCAAGTTTGAATGTTGTTCTTTACAACAGCTTATGTTCAAGATATCCCATGAAAACCTCAACAGATTGAGTTCACAATTCCTCTAATACATCATTTCATCAAGCTCTACACCTGATTAGAATTTGGTGGTCATTGGTCAAGGTGGAAAGTCACCATTTTTAATAAAAAAGCTTCAGTGCAAGACATGTCAGGAACTTCTGGACATATTTCTTGTTCACTTTATTATCATACCATCAGTTCTATACCTGATTATATTTCATGGGTCATCAGTTCAGGCTAATTGGTCAAAGGTGGTATAAGTCTCTTGGTGAATCCGAGAGGACTAGTTTTCCTCTCTGTCCAGCCACTCTAGCAGCTTTATTGCATGAGAGATTCCCATCAAACTTTATACACTTATTAAGCCACAAAATATATTTGACAAGTTCTCTTGTATTCTTGCTAAAAAAAGCAATTATTTTTATGTTGCTTGTATTCTTGCTAGAAAGAGCACTCATTGTTTCTGTTGTACTCTTGCTAGAAAGAGCACTCATTAGGGCCCCGCATCAGAGATGCGGGTGCCCTATAGTAATAAGGTTGTCTGTCCGTCAGTCTGTCTGTCCATTTTTTTTGCTGCTGGCATTTCTTAGAGACAACTGCACGTATCTTTATGAAATTACATATACATACATATCTTCACATTACGGAGTGTCACATTCTCATTTTGAGTTTCTACAGCAAAAATTTGCAGAGTTATGGCCCTTTGTCACCAAAAATTGTCTGGCCTATAACTTCCATGTAGTTTGAATGACATTCACCAAACTTACTATATTTATATTATTGGGAATGCAGAGTGTCACAAACCAATTTCAAGTTTCAATGACAAATATTTGCAGAGTTATTGCCCTTTGTCACCAAAACTTGTCCGGCCCATAACGTCCATGTCGTTTGAACGATATTCACCAAACTTGTTACTTCTGTTGTATCATTGCTAGAAAGAGCACTTATCATAACTTCTGTTGTATCATTGCTAGAAAGAGCATTTATCATAACTTCTGTTGTATTGTTGCTAGAAAGAGCACTCATAACTTCTGTTGTACTGTTGCTAGAAAGAGCACTTATCATAACTTCTGTTGTATTGTTGCGAGAAAGAGCACTTATCATAACTTCTGTTGTATTGTTGAGAGAAAGAGAACTCATAACTTCTGTTGTACTGTTGCTAGAAAGAGCACTTATCATAACTTCTGTTGTACTGTTGCGAGAAAGAGCACTTATCATAACTTAAGATGATTATGTTATTATGTTTTAGTATTTCTTGACTTACCCTAGAATTTATAAACAGAAAGTAGTATTAAATAGATACTATGGTACAAAATACATTGTGTCATTAGCAATATTTATCTAGCAGTGGAAAAAAGCCACACAGTTTCACAGTATGTATGATGGTATATTCTCAGTTTTCCATCTTCATTGCTTTTGCAGAGATAAAATTGGAGATACTCGCCTGGCATTCTATATTGGTGTTGGAGAATTTGATAAGAGAGGCATTGATGGCAAAAGTGATGGAACAGGGAAAATCGATGAAAAAATGAGAAGGAAAAGTGAAGAACATATGGATAGAAAAAATGCAGAATCAGCTTTTGCAGAACTAGGATTTACTTTTAAAAGCAACAAATCGTATGGATCAAGGAAAGAGGAAATTGATGAATTCTTGGAAGAAGGTAATTTAAAATCGATATATGTATAAATCATTTCACGGTTCAGTCAAAGAGACAAGTGTTGATTTGTTTTTAGCCCACCATCATTAGATGGTGGGTTATTCAAATCGCCCTGTGTCCGTGGTCCATCGTCTGTCCGTCCGTCCGTAAACAATTCTTGTTACCGCTATTTCTGGGAAAGTACTGGATGGATCTTTCTCAAATTTCATATGCAGGTTCCCCTTGGTCCCTAGTTGTGCATTGTACCTTTTTTGAACTGATTCGCATTCAAGATGGGCGACAGGTGGCCATCTTGGATTTTGGAAGTAAAAGTTTGTTACCGCTATTTCTGGAAAAGTACTGGATGGATCTTTCTCAAATTTCATATGCAGGTTCCCCTTGGTCCCTAGTTGTGCATTGTACCTTTTTTGAACTGATTCGCATTCAAGATGGGCGACAGGTGGCCATCTTGGATTTTGGAAGTAAAAGTTTGTTACCGCTATTTCTGGAAAAGTACTGGATGGATCTTTCTCAAATTTCATATGCAGTTTCCCCTTGGTCCCTAGTTGTGCATTGTACCTTTTTTGGACTGATTCGAATTCAAGATGGCCGACAGGCAGCCATCTTGGATTTTGGAAGTAGAAGTTTGTTACTGCTATTTCTTGGAAAGTACTGGATGGATCTTTCTCAAATTTCATATGCAGTTTCCCCTTAGTCCCTAGTTGTGCATTGTACCTTTTTTGGACTGATTCGAATTCAAGATGGCAGACAGGTGGCCATCTTGGATTTTGAATGTAAAAGTTTGTTACTGCTATTTCTTGGAAAGTACAGGATGGATCTTTCTCAAATTTCATATGCAGGTTCCCTTTGGTTCCAAGTTGTGCATTATACCTTTTTGGAGTGATCCGAAATCAAGATGGCTGACAGGCAGCCATCTTGGATTTTGAGAGTAAAATCTTGTTACTGCTATATCTGAGGAAGTACTGGATGGTTCCTTCTTATATTTCATAGATATTGGTTTCCCTTGGTCCCTAGTTGTGCATTGTATCTTTTTTGGACTGATTTGAAATCAAGGTGGCCCACAGGCAGCCATCTTGGATGTTGACAGTAATACAGCACAAGCATATTGTCCATTATCCACCTGTAACTGACTGCTATCTAATAATACTTTGGGATCTTATTCAAATGATATTTGCTAATAGGTGCTTAATAAAAATATCTTGTGCCATCATTGAGTACATTCAATGAAGACCAGTTCATGGACATTTTTAACACCTGTAACAAACAAAAAAAATCAAAAAAATCTTCAAGAACTGAAAACAGATCCTCAAATGGTGGGCGCCAAGATCCCTCTGGGATATCTAGTTTCTATTATTTTCATTTTGCTCAAATATATGTACATATAGCTCTAGTGACCTACTAGCCTTTTATGTAATTGTGAAGTTGATGGACTAATATGAGAAAGTTGATGACAAACTTGTCCTGACAGGCAGCATTTGTTACTGTGGTTATATACTTTTGATTCATGAAATCCTGCCAAAAGTTGTTGAAAGATGATGTCAATCCGAGTCAGTAATCAGTAGAAGGTATTATATTCTCATGATCATCTTCATCACATCCATTCTGATGTCAGTTTTGCTTCATTAAACATTCTATTATGTCAGTTTTGCTTCATTAAACATTCTATTATGTCAGTTTTGCTTCATTCTATTATGTCAGTTTTGCTTCATTAAACATTCTATTATGTCAGTCTTGCTTCATTAAACACTCTATTATGTCAGTATTGCTTCATTAAACATTCTATTATGTCAGTTTTGCTTCATTAAACATTATATTATGTCAGTTTTGCTTCATTCTATTATGTCAGTTTTGCTTCATTCTATTATGTCAGTTTTGCTTCATTCTATTATGTCAGTTTTGCTTCATTCTATTATGTCAGTTTTGCTTCATTAAACATTATATTATGTCAGTTTTGCTTCATTCTATTATGTCAGTTTTGCTTCATTCTATTATGTCAGTTTTGCTTCATTCTATTATATCAGTTTTGCTTCATTCTATTATGTCAGTTTTGCTTCATTCTATTATGTCAGTTTTGCTTCATTCTATTATGTCAGTCTTGCTTCATTAAACATTCTATTATGTCAGTTTTGCTTCATTAAACACTCTATTATGTCAGTTTTGCTTCATTAAACATTCTATTATGTCAGTTTTGCTTCATTAAACACTCTATTATGTCAGTTTTGCTTCATTAAACACTCTATTATGTCAGTTTTGCTTCATTAAACATTCTATTATGTCAGTTTTGCTTCATTAAACATTCTATTATGTCAGTTTTGCTTCATTAAACATTCTATTATGTCAGTTTTGCTTCATTCTATTATGTCAGTTTTGCTTCATTAAACATTCTATTATGTCAGTTTTGCTTCATTAAACACTCTATTATGTCAGTTTTGCTTCATTAAACATTCTGTTATGTCAGTTTTGCTTCATTAAACATTCTATTATGTCAGTTTTGCTTCATTAAACATTCTATTATGTCAGTTTTGCTTCATTCTATTATGTCAGTTTTGCTTCATTAAACATTCTATTATGTCAGTTTTGCTTCATTAAACACTCTATTATGTCAGTTTTGCTTCATTAAACATTCTATTATGTCAGTTTTGCTTCATTAAACATTCTATTATGTCAGTTTTGCTTCATTAAACATTCTATTATGTCAGTTTTGCTTCATTAAACATTCTATTATGTCAGTTTTGCTTCATTAAACATTCTATTATGTCAGTTTTGCTTCATTAAACATTATATTATGTCAGTTTTGCTTCATTCTATTATGTCAGTTTTGCTTCATTAAACATTCTATTATGTCAGTTTTGCTTCATTAAACACTCTATTATGTCAGTTTTGCTTCATTAAACATTCTATTATGTCAGTTTTGCTTCATTAAACCTTCTATTATGTCAGTTTTGCTTCATTAAACATTCTATTATGTCAGTTTTGCTTCATTAAACACTCTATTATGTCAGTTTTGCTTCATTCTATTATGTCAGTTTTGCTTCATTAAACATTCTATTATGTCAGTTTTGCTTCATTAAACATTCTATTATGTCAGTTTTGCTTCATTAAACATTCTATTATGTCAGTTTTGCTTCATTAAACACTCTATTATGTCAGTTTTGCTTCATTAAACATTCTATTATGTCAGTTTTGCTTCATTAAACATTATATTATGTCAGTTTTGCTTCATTCTATTATGTCAGTTTTGCTTCATTAAACATTCTATTATGTCAGTTTTGCTTCATTAAACATTCTATTATGTTAGTTTTGCTTCATTAAACATTCTATTATGTTAGTTTTGCTTCATTAAAATTCTATTATGTCAGTTTTGCTTCATTAAACATTCTATTATGTCAGTTTTGCTTCATTAAACATTCTATTATGTCAGTTTTGCTTCATTAAACATTCTATTATGTCAGTTTTGCTTCATTAAACATTCTATTATGTCAGTTTTGCTTCATTAAACATTCTATTATGTCAGTTTTGCTTCATTAAACATTCTATTATGTCAGTTTTGCTTCATTCTATTATGTCAGTTTTGCTTCATTAAACATTCTATTATGTCAGTTTTGCTTCATTAAACATTCTATTATGTCAGTTTTGCTTCATGAAACTTCCTATTATGTCAGTTTTGCTTCATTAAACACTCTAATATGCCTGTTTTCTTCAAGTTTATTGGCGAATGACCTTGGTCCACTTCACAGAGGTCAAACATTATTAAATCTTCAAGAAATGTCTCCTTAATAAGCAAAAGGTTTAGGCTACTTTTATCAGCTCTGTAACATGATATGATGAAGGGTTACCATATTTATTCAAATGATTGACCTTGACTGGCTTTCAAGCTCACTGGGGTCAAATGTGTTGTGGGTCATGGTATTTGTGTAATAATAATGATAATAATTACAAAAATACTAATGTAGTAGCATACTTGAGGAATAGGATTTCAAGTTTGCAGGTATTGACTTTATGAACAGACAATAACTTTGGTGTAAGCTGTAGAATGTGTGAGCAGTTTAGAGCCTTTATCTTATAGTGGTCTTTTTAGTCACACAACTGTTGAGGACTATAGGTATCTTGTTTTTTTCATTTCCCAAATCACATCTAGTTTTACATACATTGCATTAACTAGGTAGATGAAACAAAAGAAATTTCACTCATACTCTACCTCATCATTTCATGGTCGGGAGCATGTTATTCCTGATGTCATTTCATGGTCAGGAGCATGTTATTCCTGATGTCATTTCATGGTCGGGAGCATGTTATTCCTGATGTCATTTCATGGTCGGGAGCATGTTATTCCTGATGTCATTTCATGGTCGGGAGCATGTTATTCCTGATGTCATTTCATGGTTGGGAGCATGTTATTCCTGATGTCATTTCATGGTCAGGAGCATGTTATTCCTGATGTCATTTCATGGTCGGGAGCATGTTATTCCTGATCGTCATTTCATGGTCGGGAGCATGTTATTCCTGATGTCATTTCATGGTCGGGAGCATGTTATTCCTGATCATCATTTCATAGTCGGGAGCATGGTATTCCTGATGTCATTTCATGGTCGGGAGCATGTTATTCCTGATGTCATTTCATGGTCGGGAGCATGTTCTTCCTGATCGTCATTTCATCAAAGGTTCATTTCTATTCTTTTACTCTTTAACTAATACAGATACAATAATTTAGCATGTACTTGTATGATGGTAATATGCAGGTTAAGTTCTGATTTGGTTACAGTAAAATTGTTCATTTTCCGGTCAGATTTATTTATTATTGATTTCATAAACACTCTTATTCAAAAAATTTGTTTGTCCACAAACATTTTCAATTAGTTCAAGTAGATTTATTGAGCTCTTTATATCCACAAAATCGAGTGACCATGAAATACAGACATAACATAGTGTATAACAACAAATATTGATCCCTAAGAAAATATATATTTTTAATTTTTCTTTTTTTCCAGGGGGACATTTGTGTC